AGAAGGCGGGGCGCAGGGCGCAGGCGCGGGGCAAGGGAGCGGGGTCAGGGGGCGGCGGAGGGGTCTGAGAAGGGGCGGCAAGAGTTGAGACGAAGAGACGAAGCGAGAGGCGGTGTGTGTGGAAATGGGCTGGCCGGGCCGCTCGCCGCGGCGGGCCTCGGCGCGAAGCTGCAGCTGCTCCGCTGCTGCGGAACTTGGGGCTGCTCGCCGTGTGCTGCTTCCATGCCGTGCTGGCGACAAACCAGCCTGATGCAAGCAGCCGCTGCACCCTTGCAGGCTTGCTGCTTTCGCCCTGCCCAGTGCTCGCCCTCCATGCTGCAAATGTGCCATACTGAGCTGTGCTGCGGCAAATGTGCAAGTCGGCGCCGCTTGCCCCGCCAAAATGCATGACCCCCCGCTGCACTCCACGTCTGCCGTGCTGCTGCAGCCTACTGGCCGCCAGCCAACACCATGCTGCCCGCCAAAGCCGTGCCGTCTCTGCTCCTGCTGCCGCGCTGCGCACACATGCGCCTGCCGCTGCCCCGGGCTGCCCGCCACCTCGGCACCAGCAGCAGCACAGAGCAGAAGCAATGCAGCAGGCAGCAGCAGCAGCAGCACCAAGACTGCCACCAGCAGCAGGCCGGCCGCAGGCGCCCGCAGCAGCGCCAGCGCAGCCACGCACCAGCAGCTGCATCGCCTTCTCGCCGCGCACAGTCACGTGCGCCGAGATCTTCTCGTTACGGCGGATGGACCACTGGCGCACGGTGTAGCGCGCCTTGCCGAACACGGGCTGCTGGCCGGTCAGCTGCTCCAGCACGTGCAGGCAGGCAGGCAGGCGGGGCGGCGGCGGCAGATGAGTGGCGGTGCCAGAACGGCCGCCAGCGAAAGCATGCAACCGACACATGCGCGGCATGCACAGCGACAATGGCGGCAGCAGCAGGCCGCCGCCGTGTCTGCAGCTGCCTTAGGCAGCTCGGCCAGGCCAGGCAAGCGCATGCAAACGTGGCCGCTGCCACAGCACAGGCCGCCTGCTGCGGCGACAGGCGCTTATCTTAGCGGCCTTCTGCAGGCGATCTCCGCTCTCGCCGGTGCAGCAGTTCAGCACCAGCTTAGAGACGCGGATGTCCCGCATGGGGTTGCTGGCCTTCTTGTCAGCCACCTGTGAGGAGGAACAGCAGGAACGCAAGGCGGCGGCACGGCGGTCAGCGGTCGGCTCAACGGCGGCATGTCGAGATGGGACAGCAGCAAATGCACCCCTGCCAATTGAGCTTTGTGGCATTGTGGTTATTCCTTCAGCAGCTGCGCCCATCCATTCAGCAGCCTGCCAGGAAGCCTGCTTGCTGCACGCTGCACTTCGCCGCCGCCGCCCGCTCGCTGGCCCGCCCGCTGCTCCCGCTGGTGCTGGGCGCGCAGGCCGGGCGGCTGGCGGCGGGCCCGCATGAGCCAGCGCCTGGGCCACAGGGACTCGCTGCCTATGGCCAGAGCCTGCCAAAGAGCTGCGGCATGGTGTGCTGTTGCCGCTGCCGCCGCTCCCACGCTGTCAAGCCATCAGCATGGCCCAGGATGCACCAGCCCGGTCATGCTGGGGCCCGCAGAGACACCGCCCAGCTGGACTGCATCACCGGCATGCTGCTGCAGCGTCGGCTCTCACCATGCTGCAGTATGCTTCCTCCCCTATGCAGCTCCGTCCAGAGAGGGCGAGGGAGGCGAGAGGGGGCGTCTTCAGGCGACTGCCCGCTGCGACCCAGGATCCTGCATGAAGTCGGTGAACCCCAGGCCTCTCTTTTCCACTGCATGCACAAGATCATCGACTGATTGGCCCTCCTGAAGCGCCTCAGGTCCCGCACAGCGCCGCCCGGTCGCTCTTCTATTGCCTGCCCGGCTGCACCCTCCCGCCCCGACGCTCCAGCGCTTGTGGCGGCTGCACTGCATCAGCAACAGTCATCGACATGCTGGGGTTGGCGTACAGCTCGCCTCCCGCACATGTGGGCAGGGGCAGAGGGTGCCCACCTACAGTCGCAGGTGCGTGCACAGTGGGCCGCTGCAGGGATAGGACGCGATTGCGCCAGCCGTGGGCCGTGGCGGGCACCACCCCGCACCCTGCCACCCATGCGTCGCTGGCGCCTGCCGCTGCCGCCGCAGGTCGCCCCGCCGCCTCGCCTGCAGCCACCCGCACAATCCGGCCACGGGGCCAGCAGCGCGGCCGCCCACGGGCCCCGCCCACTGCCGCAGCCAGCTCGCTCGACGACGTCGCCGCCGCCGGCGCCGGCGGCGAGCGCGGCGGATCCGCCGACGGCGTGCAGCCTCCCGCCGACACGAGCAGCAGCAGCAGCAGCAGCAGCAGCAGCAGCAGCAGCAGCAGCAGCCCCGGCGAGGCGGACCCTCAGCTGGAGAGCGAGATGTTCGACTACGTGCAGCACTGCCAGGAGACGTACGGCAAGCCGGGCCTCATCGACTTCTCGGCGGGAACCAACGGCCTGCCCAAGGTCACGCTGCAGCACCCCGCAGGCGCCTCCTGCGAGCTCTACCTCCACGGCGGCACGGTCACCTCCTGGCGGCACGCAGACGGCCGCGAGATGCTGCACGTGCGGGACCAGAACAAGTTCGACGGGCAGGAGGCAATCAAGTGAGGGGACGGCCAGGGGCGGCCACCGCCGCCGCGCAGGCAGAGCGGCAGCGCCAGCTGGCTGGTGTGCATGCTGCCGCAGTCGTGGTGTGTGAGAATGGGTTGGGGCCGCGTGTGTGCGTCCAGCCTCAAACCCTGCGCAAGAGCACCCCAGCGACTGCCGCCCGCAGCCGCTCACGATGCCTGCCTATGCCCGCCCGTCTCCCTCCCTCCTCCCCCGCCTGGCGCAGCGGCGGCATCCAGATTGCGTGGCCGCAGTTTGGGGTGGGACCGCTCAAGACCCACGGCTTCCTGCAGAACATGCACTGGTCTGTGATCGACACGGCGTGGCGGGAGCCGGAGGGGGAGCAGCTGGAGGATGCGGTTGACTACCAGACGATTGCAGACTGGCGGCCCACCATCAGCCTCTACGCAGACACAGGTGGGACCCGCGGCGGTGGGGAGGCAGTCGCCGGCTTGCGTGCACGGTGCCGTGCGGTGTTTAGCTCTGCACGCGCGTCGCGGCGCCATGCGACTGCTCCCTGCGCCGTGCCGGCCGCCTGACGCCCAGCCGCCGGCCCCACCTGTCTCCCCGCCTGCAGATGAGCAGTGGACGGAGGCGTGGCCTCACAAGTTTGAGGCTCTGTACAGCATCACCCTGATGCAGCCAGACCCGCCTGAGAAGTCGGATGTGGAAATCCTGCGGGAGGCAGCCGAGCACTACCAGCCCTGGAAGCGGCGGCAGCAGCAGCAAGGCGGCGCCGCGCAGCCGGCGGCGGCGGCCGCGCCCGACGCGCGGCAGCGGCGGCAGGAGCCGGCGGCGGACGAGGAGCGGGCGCCGCTGACGCCCAGCGTGCTGCGCTGCCTGCTTCAGGTGTGGGGGTTGCGGGGCACACGCTCTGAGTGGCTGCGCCGCTGAACACCGCCGTAACGCCTGCCCAGCCGCTGTCCCGCCCGCCGCGGCCATGCATCCAACGGCAGCCAGCCAGCCCCCGCCGCATGCTTCCCTCCTTTGCCTTTTGCTGTTCTGCGAGCCGCCCCCTGCCACCCCATCCCATCACATACACTCAAAAACCTCTCAGCCCTGAACTCTCACCTCCTCCCTGCCCTGCCTGCCTGCCTGCCCCCTGCAGGTGCACAACTGCGATGACTCCCCCTTCACCTTCACCACCGGCCTGCGCACACACTTTGCCACGCGCGACATCCCCACCTACTCCAACTACGTGAAGACGCTGGGGCTGCGAGGTGAGGGGGCAGGCCGCCGCGCCTGGCGGCGGTGGGGACCAGCTATGTGGCAGCAGGCGGCGTGCACGGCAACCGGTGGGGCGGCGAGCCCTTGTGCCGCTGCAGCACCGCCGGCCCTGGCACATCGAAGCCCTGCCCAGCACTGCAAGCCGGCCTGGTGCCTGTACCGCTCCATGTTGCTTGTACTGCATGTACCGCCATGTACCGCAGGCAAGTACATCCTGGACTACGGCCGCAACCCGCTCAAGCCGCGGCTGGGCGTGGAGGACGCCCACAACGTGACCTTTGGCAGCATGGCGCCGCTCAACCGCCTGTACGTCGACTGCGAGGCGCAGGGCGACGTGCTCTTCTGCCCCGGCGCCCCGGTGAGCACAGCTTGTGTGTGTGTGTGTGTGTGAGAGAGAGAGAGAGAGAGAAAGGAGCGGAGCTGGCGTGTCAGCAGGGGTGTCTTGCCGCTAGCCATGATGCCGTGATGCGGCCAAGCTGGGGCCAGCTGGTCCCGCCACTTGCCGTCCTCGTGCCGCCTCTCACTCCACCGCGCCCACCCACCGCACGCCCCGCGCCGCCCCTGCCTCCTTCTGCCCTCCCCCCGCAGGCCCACTTCCACATTGGCAACTCGCAGGGCTTCTCGGACATCGCCATTGTGCACCCCACGGGCGTGGCGCCGCGCGAGGCCCGCCGCTTTGTTTCCATCGCCTCGGCCCGCGCCGCGCGCAAGATCACGCTGCAGCCCGGCGGCACGTGGGTGGGAGAGATGGTGCTCACGGCGCACGACCGGTACTGGGAGCTGCCCGCCTGGGAGGTGGAGGACAGCAGCGGGGTGCCCATCCCGGAGCAGACGCCCGAGTCGCTGCAGCCGCGCCGCGGCGCGCTGTCGCTCACGGAGCAGCTGGCGCCAGACCTGTAGCCCAGCCGCGCCCGGCCGGCACCTGCCCCTGTACCTTCAAACCCCCCTCCCTCGTTTGCCCTTGCTCCCATCTCCCCTGTTGCTGCTCCCACATATGTGTTCTGCTGCCTGCTGTGTTCTCCACTGCTCCGTCCGTGTCTGCTGCCCACCAGAACCGGCGCTCTTCCGCGATACCCTGTCATGTAACTCGAGATAGGTGTTGTGGTGCACAGGGGTGCCAAGGGTCGGGAGTTACAGCACAGGACGAGAATGATGGAGCCAACCGACCCGCTCAACTTGCGAGCATCTGTGAAAGAGGGAGCAGGAAACAGAGGGGCGCTCACACAAAGGAGTGAGGAGCAGTGCTGTACGGTGCCACACGGGCCTCAAGCCCGCATCAGGCGACACGGCTGCTGCCGCAGGGTGCTGCTCTGCTGGTCAAGAGAGCTGCCACGACAGCTCAGCTGCTCAGCTGGCCAAGAGGTGCAAAGCGAGGGCTGCGCCGGCTCCCTAGGCGGCGGCCTCTGCAGGCACCTCCTTCTTGCCACCGAAGATCTTGGTGGCGCCCCAGATGCCCACGCCCCAGCAGCCCAGCACCAGGAACACAATCTGTGGGAGGCCAGGCACGACAGAAGGGTCAGCAGCGGGGCCAGCTTCGAGGCACGCAGCAGGGCAGGGGAGGTGGGCGGACCAGCAGGCGGCGCAGCACGCACGTGCTCCTCCTTCCACTTGGCGATCTCAGTGGGCTTCTCCCTGCAGCAAGGCATGCCACGCCATGGGCATCAAGCCCAGCCGATGGCCAGAAAGAGCATGCCAGGGCAAAGCCAAGAGCGACTGCCGCCCGCTGCCAGGAGCTGCAGACAATGGCGGAGGCAGCAGCTGCCGCTCACCAAGCGTTGTACTTCACCTCGCCGTGCGCATCTGCACAGCAGGCATTTCCAGAGCAGCACACACGACATTGGACAGCGTGAAAATGAGCGCAGAGTGTGCGGCACCTGGCCCCGCCGCCGAATGTGCGCTGGCGGCGACCCCACGCGCCTAGCGGCGATCACAGCACCACATCATGCAAGCCCAGCCCAACAGGGGCTGCCATAGCGAGGCAGCAGGCCGCCTGGGGACAGCAGGAGGCCCAGCAGCCGACCTGCTGCAAACCCTCGGGAGCCCGCCGGTGCCCTGCTGCTCCGGGTGACGCAACGAGACGCCAGGGGCGCCAGTCGGCGGAGCATGGCGTCGCCTGGAGTGGACACCAAAACTAACAGGCCCAGACGCCGACACCCTCGGCTGTGCAAGCAGGTTGAGCCGCAGTAGCACTGGCAGCCCCGATCGCAGCGAAAGAGTCTTGCCACTGGCTCCAGCAGAGCGTGACTGGGCAAGTGCACTCTGTTCTTCCTCTGCGGCGGCTGGGACGCCCATCGGTTGATGATATCGATTCGAAGGCATCGTCAAAAGCTCAATTGCACCCAACTAGGCCTCCAGCGCTGTCACCGACATGGTGGGGAGCTCGCACCGTGCTCTGCCGCTCTGATTGCCCAATCGCGTGCCTGCGAATGCATCGGGCCATGTCATTGACGCGGGGAGATGGGCAGCAGGCCATCACGACCTGCCTGCTCAAACCGCCAGCGGCGATGGCCGCCGGTTTTTGCAGGTGGCGGAGCTGCTGCAAGAAGCCATCCAGGAGTACACCGCCTCGCTGCAGAGCATAGCAGAGGCTTTGGAGGCCAAAGGCAGCCCTAGTGAGGCCGAGTTGCTGGATGTGAGCTGAGCCGCGCCGCCGCTGCCGCTCCTCTGCCTCTCCGCTCGCCTCCCTGCAACGGCGCCTGCCGCCTGCATCTTTTGTTGCACGCCTCACAGTTTGCCCCCCTGCTGCAGCTGAAATCCCAGCTGGAAAGCGCGTTGCGGGATGCAGAGGCCGCTCTGGAGGGGCTCCAGCCGGCAGCGCCGCAGGAGCCGCTGCCGGCACCAGCAGCCAGCAGGAGCCCAGCGACGGGCGGCAGCCACGGCAGCGCCCAGCCAGACGCAGCAGCCGGGGCGGCGCCCACGGCGCTGCCGCGCGCCGCGGCGCCCGACAGCAACAACGCGCGCATCCACCCGCGCAGCAAGTACGCTTTCGAGGCGCCTCACTTTGAGGCACTGGCGGCGCGCTACCCCTCCCTGCAGCCCTACCTGCTGCGCGGCGGCGGCGGCGGGGCACGCGCCGGCAGCGGGCCATGCGCCAGCGCCAGCCCCGAGGCAGGCGCCAGCGAGGCAGCCGACAGCAAGGCAGCTGCAGGGCCAGGCGGCGGCAGCAGCGCCGGCGGCGGCGGCCGGCCGTCGATCGACTTTTCCGACCCGGCTGCGTGCCGGGAGCTGACCCGCGTGCTGCTGCTGGCAGACTTTGGGGTGGAGTGGTGGGTGCCGCTGGGGCAGCTGGTGCCGCCGCTGACCAACCGAGCCAACTACATCCACTGGCTGGAGGACCTGCTGGCGCTGTCGGCGCCGTCAGGCGAGTGCACATAGAAAGCACGGCGGCGGCTGGGGGCGCCGCCGCGGCGCGCTGCGTCGGCCGGCGCCGCTGCCCGCTGTGGGACCCAGCGCATGCGTGGCGCTGTGCGGAAGGCCGGCTAAGAAGCTCTGCCCAGCTCCGGTGTGACCGTTTACAACAGCGCCGGCGCCCATCGCGCACACCCGGCGCCGGCCCCTCCGCCACGCGCCCCATTCGCGCCTGCTCCGCCCTGCTCGCCCCTGCAGGCCAGGTGGTGGGGCTGGACATCGGGTGCGGCGCCAACCTGGTGTACCCGCTGCTGGGTGCCTCGCTGTGCGGCTGGCGGTTTGTGGGAGCTGACGTGACCGACGTGGCGCTGTCGTGGGCGGCTCGCAACCTGGGAGCCAACCCACGGCTGGGCCCGCTGATCGAGCTGCGGCGTGTGGCCAGGCAGCCCGAGCAGCAGGCTCTCCTTGCTGAGGCTGGCGGCGACGGCGGCGCAGCAGAGCAGCAGGCAGCGGCGGCAGGCCTCGAGGGCACGCCGCCGGCGGTGGCGTCGGCGGCGCCCGCCCCGGTGGTGCGCCTGTCGCCCGCCGAGGCGGCCGGCGGCGGCATCGTCAGCGGCGCGGTGCGGCACGGCGAGCGGCTGGCCTTCTGCATGTGCAACCCTCCCTTCTTCGAGAGCATCGAGGCGGCCGGCCGCAACCCGGCCACCGCCTTTGGTGGCACCGCAGACGAAATGGTGTACCCAGGTGCGGCTGCCAGGGGGCGGCTACTTGCTGACAGCTTTGACCATACTGTCCTGAGCGCCCTGCCACCTGCACACTACACTGGGTCCCTCGCAGCCCCACCACCCACCCCCGCTCGCCCACCTGCACAAGCCACCCGGCACCCCGCCGCCGCCACTTGCCACCCGCCCACCCACCCTCCCGCCCGGCCCCTGCAGGCGGCGAGCTGGCGTTTGTGAGCGGCATGGTGCGCGACTCGCTGTCCCTGAGGGGCGCGGTGCACTGGTACACGACCATGGTGGGGAAGAAAGCGACGCTGCGGGCGGTACGCAGCCTGCTGTACCGCCACGGCGTCCGCGCCCTGCGCACAACTGAGTTCTTCCAGGCATGCGCGTGCCGCCGCCCACAGCATCCTCTTGGGCTGCTTGGCTGCTCTTTGCCGCACGATGCGCTGGCTGGTGCTTTGAGGGTGCAGGACGTTCGGGCGCCCGCCCTGCCCCTGCCTGGCGTGCCTGGCAGAGCCTGTGCCCTGGCAGCGGTGCCGACATGGCCCCGGAAGCATGTGGCCTGGCGCCTCAGTCCAAATCTAGTTTTGGACCATAAAAAGAAGGATTTCGCTGCCTGCCCCCGCCGCTGCAGGGCAAGACGTCTCGCTGGGCGCTGGCCTGGAGCTTCACGGCTGACGCGGCGGCAGCCACCCAGCCGCTGCCGCGCTTCCCAGGCGCAGGTGGCCAGGCCGCAGCTGCCGGGCAGCCGGGCCAGCAGAGCGGCGCACGCGCGCAGCAGCAGCAGGCGCAGGAGCACCAGCAGGCGCAGCGGCAGCAGCAGCCGGGGCTGGCGCGGCCGGTGGGGCGCAAGCTGAGCTGGCAGGTGCACGCGCCGCCCGGCGCCGGCGCCGCGATGCTGGAAGCCATGCAGGGCTGCCTGCAGCAGGCAGGGCTGCAGTGCGCGGTCGACGCGGCGGCCTACAGCATCCAGGCCAGCTACTCGCCCTCGACTCAGGAGCTGGCGGCAGCGGCGGAGGCAGAGGCAGAGGGCCAGCCGGGAAGCGGCGGCGCGCCGATGGCGGCGGTGCCGACGCTGCTGCCAGGCAGGGGCCCTGGAAGCTGGAGCTGCACCTCTTCATGCAGCACGCGGGCCTCTTCCTGCTGACCGCCGCCCTGCACAAGTCCGCCCCAGACGGCGCGCTGGCCTGGTTTGGGGCGCAGGCGCGCGCGCTGCACCAGGCGCTTGCAGCGCGGTGGAAGGTGCAGGCCTAGGCGTGGCGGCGCCTGCAGAAGGCTAGCTTGGCTAAGTGGCGCAGGCATGCCAACCGGCTGCCTTGACGCCTCATGTTGTGGTTGCCTTTCAGTCTTAAACGCAAGCTACGGCAAGCCTAGAGACAGGACGGTGGGAGCGTTGCAGCCGGCAACAGCCAAAGAGCAGGAAACGGTAGGCGATTGGTACAAGGGTTCATACCGAGCACCACGTCTCGCAGAAAAATCAAAGTAGGTTACAAGTCTAAGTCAGGAGGTAGTGGGGGCAGCCAGCTGCACGAACTGCGCTGCCCAGGGGGAGGGAGTGAGAGGCATGATAGCAGGGGTCTGACAGTAGTGCTGTGGTAGAGGCCGCCACGGCGCCCCCGCTCCACACAACCCGGCAGGGGCATCGCAGGGAGGGTGGGATCCGTGCGCTGCCGCGCACCCTCCGTTAGAGAGGCCGCTACGCGCACCAGCCGCGGTTGTCGGCGCGCAGGAAGAGGCGTCGGGCGTGGGACTCAAACACGTAGCAGCAGGCCAGCGGCAGCACCACGCCGTGCAGGAAGACGCGCAGGCCGCCCGCGGCCACGCACCGCCCGCCCTGCTCCTCGTAGAATTTGGAGCAGATGGCGGGCAGCAGGGTGATGTTGACGGCAAAGGCCAGCGGGCAGGCCAGCACTTGGAAGCGAAAGCGCATCTGCAGGGAGGAAGGGTGTGTGTGGAAGGCGGGTGGGTAGGGCAGCAGCAGCCAGGCACCAGGCTAATAACGCCTGGCTAACAAGGCCAGGTGGTGGATCAAGGGCTGCAGCCGGGCCAACGGCCAAGCGGGCCCAGGCAGCCAGCCAACTAGACAGCGTGTCCCAGCTAGCTGGCGCTCCCCGCTCCCCACCTGGAAGGCAAGCCCCATGACGGTCAGCCAGCCAAAGGACTGGAGGTAGAGCTGCACAGGCAGTAGCAGGAACATAGGTACAGCGTGTGAGCGTGGTGTGGCATGCACGACGTGCGGGACAGTCTGTCCACGCTCCACCCCAAGCACACAGCCGCCGCAAGACCAGCACAGCATGCTCGCGGCCTGCCCGCCCGCTGCCTGCCAGGCGTGCCTGCCTGCCAGGCCGCCTGCCGGCTGCGAGCCCACCCCCCGACACGCGGCAGGCGGCCCAGCCACTCACCGGGTGTCGGAAGGAGGCTCTGCCCAGGAGGTGGAGGTAGTTAGAGATGGCAGTCTGCCAGGCGGTGACGAGGCACCAGGTGAACAGCAGCACCAAGTCGCGGTTCCGGCCATACCTGCTCGCACGGGAACGCAGGGGAGGAGGCGTGAGGGCGGTGCACACCATGGATGGAGCGTTGTGGGGCAGCGGGGCAGGGCGGGGGGAGGGTACGGCAGCGCAGCGCAGCCGGCGAAACTCGTGTGGAAGGGGGAGGGACGGGCAGGCAGCCAATGCGGAGCTGCGTGCAGGCAGGCAGGCAGGCAGGCCTGGTCGCCGGCCCCGGCGTCGGGGGCCGCCCCCGCGGCCGCTCACCAGGCGCGGGTGCGCTTGGACAGCAGCATCGCCCCCGGCAGCAGGCTGACACAGCCCATCAGGCAGCGCAGGCCCATGCGCTCCCTGAGGCGGAAGGGCGTGCCCGGCAAGAACACCTCCAAGCTGCATTGAGGTGGGAGGCGGGCGGGCACGGGCAGGGCGCGGACGGAGGCGTCAGCTAGGCAGGCGAGACATGCGCAGGGCTGCACGCACCGCCCACCCGCCATTTACGTGTGCTTCCGCGCTGCACGCTGACGCCCGCGCCCGCAGCCCGCCCAGGCACCCCTTGGCCGCCAGGCAGCCCACGCAGATGCATGCCCAGGCCCAGCGCCAGCCCGGGGCTCACCAGTAGAAGCAGAAGCAGATGAGGTAAGCCCAGGCATCCACCCGCAGCATGTGGGCTGCGTGGTACGCCGAAAACTGCCGCTCCAGGCCGCAGCTGCCAAAGGCCAGCAGCGACAGCCAGCCGCCGGCCTGCGCGGGTGGGGGCTGCCACGTGGCCGCCCGCCGCGCGCCGCCTACGCCGCCGCCGCTGCCGCTCGACCCGCTGCCGTCGTCGCTGCTGCCAGAGGGGCCGTAGTCAAGGTCCCCAGTCCGCCACTCCTCCTCATCGCTGCTGTCCCACTCAGCACCGCCGTTGGGCACGTCGTCGTCGAGCAGGGGCGGGAACGGCGGCGGCGGCAGCAGCATCGATGCGACCAGCGCAGCCAGCTCCTGCAGCGGCCCGTGGTGCTCCACGGCCAGAGCGTGCGCCAGCAGCAGCGCGCCCTTCAGCGCCCTGCGGCGGCACGAGGTGAGAGGGCGCAGCGGCACGGTCTGTTTAGTTTTTGGTTGTTTTATCTGTTTGGGAGCATCCAGCACTTCCACCTCACATAATCCTGCGCTGAGCTTCGACTTGGCATAACAGCTGGCACACTGCCCGCCCCTGCACACGGGCGGCCAGTCACAGGTGTTGCACGTGGCACTCACGGGCTGGTGATGTCGGTGGCTGAGCGGAAGCCGACGATGAGGGCACCGAGGCAGGCGCTGCCTGCCGCCGCCGCCGCCGCCGAGCAGCTGCTGCTGCCGGCCTCGGGCACGACCAGCGGCAGGCACACGATGGCGCTGCAGCCCGACTCCGCCACGATGGCATTCACATCCTCCAGGTGGTGCCTGCATGGGGGTTCAAAAGCACATGGGTGGTCCAGGGCCGCTAGTTAGGTAGTGGCGGCGGCGGCGGCGGGATAGGTAGTGCGCGGCGGGCATACTTCGTCCCGTCGCGCACCTGGTGGGCCCTTCCAGGCGCAGCAATTTCGACCTCTTGTCCCTCATACAGCTTGCTGCCAGTGTGGGGCCCGCCACGAGCGAGGCGTGCGCTCCTTGCCGAATCAGGTTGCCGCTGCAGAGCTGCGCAGCCCCCCCCGGTGCACGACAGCGCAATGCCAAAGTATGGGGCGCTCGAGAGGTGCAAGGCAGCGAGCCTGGCGCCCAGCTCTTGATGCGCCCTCGCGTCGGTCGGCCGCTGCAGCACCTCTACTGCGGCCTCAGCCCCAGCAGAGGCCGCCAACTGCGTGCTGCTCACCATGGCGGGCCGATTGAAACGGCCTGAGCGCCGCCCTCATCGGCCCTTTGGGGACAGGCGCCAGCTCCCGCCACATGGCCATGTGCCATGCAGTGCCATTGGATGCTTGTTCGGGCCATTGTTTTGCCATCGATACCCCGCCAAGTGTGCAGGGCGCGCACAGTAATTAACAGTAAGTGGGCGGGCGGGCAGCGTGGGCAGCCGCAGAGAGGCGCAGGAGTCCGAGGGCACAAGGGGTCGCGCTTCATTTTCTGGTGGAGTCGGCAGTCAGGCTGGTGGCGGAGGGCGCCGACCGCTCGGTGGCCGCCTCCTTACCCTGCTCTGAATCGCCGTCGCCCGCCGCCGGGAAGGCACGCAGCACCCAGCCCCAGGCGGCGGTGCGCCAGCCGCAGTACGCGTCTGCCAGCCCCATGCGGTGCAGCAGGGTGGGCAGGCTGGTGAGCAGCTGCTGCAGCAGCTCCGGCAGCACGATGAGGCTGTAGTAGAGGTGGTCGTTGGTGGAGACGCTTGCATCATACAGGCCCCGCACCCGCGCCGCGCCAGACACCTCAATGAGCAGGATGGACGCCAGCACGGTGGCCACCTGCGGGTGCGCCACGTCAGCAGCACCAGGCAGGAGCGGCTGAGCAGGACCGCCAGCCACGGTCTTGCGGGGCAGCAGGGCAGCGCTGACTCTGCTGCGCAGGCAGGCCCCACAGGGTGCACATCCGGCTCACCAGAGCCACGGCGGTCCGCCCCTTGGCAGCCCGCCTCCCTCCTCCGATGGCCGCCAGGAGCGCCAGCAGGGCAAACAGGGTGAGCACCGCCAGGCATGCCAGCGTGCCCTGCAGCATGCAGGGTCCATGCGGCGTGCACGCACTGTTCAGGGGACGGTGCACGGATGCCGCTGGCTGAGGCATGCTGCCCCCTGGGCTCCCGCCTCCCTGCCCCTCTCCCCTGCTGCCCTCCTTACCCAGGCTGACCACTTGCGGAGCCGCAGGGCTTGGGACATGGAGGAAGGTGTGCGGACCCCATACATCAGAATCGCGGCAAGCACACCGATGCCCGGCCCAAACACCACCACGGGGATGCTCATGAGGCGGCAGGCTGCGGGCAGGATTCGTGGGTGCCTGCGGTGGAAGGCGATCCCCTGTGCTGCAGACGCGTTGCTAAACCTGCATCGGGTGTGGGTGTGGGTGGGTAGGTGGTGGGGTGGTGGTGGCATGGGCCGCATGGCAGCGCGGTTGGGCTGGTTCAGCCACCCGTGCGGGCCAGTGCGGCGACCCACCCGGCCAGCACCTGGCTCACCAGTTGGACAGGGTGGCTGCCTGGGCGCTGGTGCATGCCGACATGCCGGCGGTGATGAAGACTGTAGAGGCCGCATAGACGTTGATGTCGTGATTCACGAGGAAGATGGAGCGGAGGAGGAAGCCGATGAATTTGCCTACACCAGGTGCACCAGCGCTCAGCGAACAAACATGAGGGGCAGGAGGCAGGCGGCGGACAAGGCGGCGGCGCACCTCCGGCGCCCAGTGCGGCGGAGAGGTAGGGGGTGAAGCACCACAGGGCGAAGTAGGCGTAGCCTATCAGCGAGAGGACGCCGTAAACGGCGGTCATGGCGATTGCAGCAGCAAGGGAGGAGCTCACAGGGAGCGCGGGCAGCGCCATGGCGGCGGCGGCGGCGGCAAGTTGCAAGGAGAGGCCACAGGGTTTAGAAGCGGTGGGCGGGTGCTGCAGAGCATAACATGCATTAATAGATAGCCGGATCGCGGCTGCGTGCAGGCTTATCAAAGAGACGCCAAACGCTCCGCCAACCCCGAGCCGATTGGTAACGAGGTCGTTTGGGGATCGAAGCGGGCAAACCCACTTCAGTAAACTGTAAATTAGTCGCCCACAAGCTCCCTGCGCGAGGCCACAGGCAGGCAGCAGGGCGGTGCCGGCGCCAGCGGAAAACGCCATGCACGGCAGGCGCCAAGCCAACACACAGTGTTGGAACAATGGGGATGCAGTTGTGCTGCTGGTGCGCCCACCAATGACTCCAAGGGAATAAAGCACCCCACAATGACTCCTGGGGCAGCAACCGGCTGCAACCGGCGCTCATGTGGCGGCAAGGCGGTCACGCCGCGCCATCACCCAAGCGCCATCAACCAAATGCTGTTTGCCGGTTGTTCGCGTGCTCCAGCTTTCCCAAAGCCGCCTCACGTTTGTGCGTACTCTTCCGGTTGAAACATTCACTCCCCCACCTGTCTCCACTCGACACTAGAGGTATCGGCACCATGCCCGCAGGTGAGAAAAGGCTGCAACGCTCCAGAATTACACTGCGGCAGCTACATGGGTCGCTTGGGGGTGCGGAAACTAGCGCGAGACGCTCTCCACTCGCACCGGTCGGCCCATTGGGTGGCCGCTGCCCACCCCCGCCCGCTGCAGGCCTCGGGAAGACGGCGCTCCTGCTATGGGCGCTCCTTGCTACTGCGCAGGTGGTGCGGGGTCTGCGGTATCCCCTGCGTTGGTTGCCGCCGCCGCCTCCCGCGTACCAATGTGCGCCTGTTTCGGGGTTCCATTCTCCCTCCCCTCACTTGGTGGCTGCGCATCCCCATGCAGGCCAAGAAGCCTGCTCTGACCCAGGAGGAAGTCGATGCCATGGTCGGTGCGTGCACATTCAATCAGCCGACGCCCGATGGGCCAGCGCTGTGGTGCCGGAAACGGCAGTGCTGCGGCTCTGCCAATGTTTCCGCCCAGCCCCTCGCGGTGTTTTCCTCCTCAAGCAATCAGGTGGGGCCGGCTGAAACCCCCCTGTCACTCCCCATCCCCGCCCCGCAGGCCTGTGGAAGTGTACCGGAAGCACCGGCATCAACATCAACGCTGCCGACGCCGCCTTCAAGGCCGGCGTGGAGGCCGCCGGCGGCAACCCGGCCAAGTACGACTGGCAGGAGGTCAACAGCCAGGTTTTCACCACCGTGCCTCCCCTCACGCTGTCCACAGCGAGGCTCTACGTGGTGGGCGTGGACCCAGCCAGCGGGTGCGTGCCAGCGTAGCACAGCACAGCGCAGGCCAGCATGTCGTCCCGTTGCATGGTACAAAGCGGGGTACCACACTACTGGGATGATGCTGGGGTAACCGCTGTCAACCCAGCCCCTGCGCTGCCTGCCCTGCCTGCTTCCCAGCGCTCCCCAGCCGCTCGCACGCCTCGTCATATCACAGAGTCTGATGTGCAACGTGCTGCCTGCAGCCTGTTTTGGAGCTACCACACCCGCACCACTGAAGAGGGGGTCAGCATGGACCGCTCTGTGGGCAGGGCCGAGCGGGGCCCCAACGGCAAGATCCACATGACGGTGAGGCGTAGGAAGCGCAAAGGCAGAGTAGTGCGCGCGGCAGTGAGCCAGGCCTTAGGAGAAGGGCACTCTGCTGTTCCTTCGTCTCGACACCCCAAGCAGCGGTAACCACCACAACACATGTGATTGTGGGATCCGTGCCCGCCTGCAGTTCATCCGCTCAGACTCCCCCGCCACCTCTTTCCGGGAGCTGGGCAAGGATGGCATCTTGAAGATGCTCTACTATGGGGATGTGATGGTGAGCGTGGCACCAGCGCGAAGGCCGCCAGCTAGCCCACACCAAGCAGCAGCCAGGCGGCTGAACCTGCAGCCACAACAGGGACAGCAGCCCAGCTGCTGTGCTGTGCTGAGCTGCGTTGATTTGCGTGCCTGCATGATCATCACCCGCCTGCCAGCCTCTCTTGCTCACTGCTCCACTACCCCCGCTGCTCCTGCGCCGCAGCCTGAGGATGATCGCAAAGAGCACTCGCTGCTCCAGCAAGACGTGCGCTACTCGTCCTGGGAGAAGATCACTGATGAGAAGGAGGAGCAGGTATGAAGAGGCTCACGGCAAGGGCTCCAGTGGAGCCGATGCGTAGCATGGCCCAGCCTGAGGCGGCGGCCGGCAACCAGCGCAACGAGGACCACCAGCGTTGGAATGCGCAATGGCATGGGCCGGCTGCGGAGCAGCGGGTGCCTCATCCTGGGCATTTCCTTGCCACACCCACTGCTGCTGCCTGCAGGAGGAGCTGGAGACGATTGCCAGTCTGCTGCCCTTCAGCACCGAGTGATGGCCAGCATGAGCTGCTGCGGGCTGGCTGGCTCAAGGCAGGCAGCATAGACAGGCACACCACCGAGTAAAATATCGGGCAGGCAGCCATGCACGCACCTGAACTGGCACAACAGGCGGCTGGGCCTGGCCGCCTGTTGGCGGCATGTCAACGTGCAGACCGGTGAACACCCCTCAATTTCTGGTGTTCATCCCCCGCCCGCCGCAGAAATTGCGCTTGCTGCTGCAAAACGAACACTGTACAGAGCGGAGGGGAAATTGGCGCGTGCCACGTCATGCCGGCAAGCGGGCCCTCAGCCCGATTCCGTTTGTTCGCTGCTCCCAGACTTCCGCACGATCCTTCGGGGCCGGTAACTGACTGGGAACTGAGTACATTTCCCTCCGTCACTCTCCGGCCAAGTTTCCCCGCCTCAATCCCATGGCAGGTAAGGGGCGGCTGGACCGCCCCACAATTACATTGCGGCAGCTTGGAGGGGTGCAGAACCTAGCGCGAGACGCTGTCTCCCCACATGTCACACATGGTGGCCGCCTGCCACCCCCCACATAATACTTTGCCCGCTGCAGGCCTCTGGAAGACAGCGCTCCTGCTCGCGGCGCTCATTGCTGCTGCCCACGGGGTGCGGGGGCCTGCAGTGTTCCCCCGCTGGTCGCCGCGGCCGCTGCCTGCCTACCGCTGACAGCCTGTTTCTGTGTCGTGCTCGCTCCCTCACTCCGTGGCTGTACATGCCATGCAGGCCAAGAAGCCTGCTCTGACCCAGGAGGAAGTCGATGCCATGGTCGGTGCGTGCACGCTGGATCAGCCGACTTGCGATGGGCAGCGCCGTGGTGCCGGAAGCGAGCAATGCTGGCGCGCTGGCGTTTTCACCCAGCCCAGACGGTTTTTACCTCCTCCAGCGACTGGAGTGTGCACTTTCTCGGCTGAACCACCGTGCCATTCCCCATCCCCACCCCGCAGGCCTGTGGAAGGTTATCGAGGTCACCGGCATCAACATCAACGCTGCCGACGCCGCCTTCAAGGCGGGCGTGGAGGCCGCCGGCGGCGCCCCGGCCAAGTACGACTGGCAGGAGGTCAACAGCAAGGTCTTCATCACCTTGCCGCCCCTCATCCGTTCCACAGCGAGGCTCTACGTGGTGGGCGTGGACCCAGCCAGCGGGTGCGTGCCAGCGTAGCACAGCACAACGCAGGCCAGTCGCTGCCCGCCCTGCCTTCCCAGCGCTCCCCAGCCGCTCGTACGCCTCGTCATGTCACAGTCTGGTGTGCAACGTGCTGCCTGCAGCCTGTTTTGGAGCTACTTCACCCGCACCACTGAAGAGGGGGCCAGCATGGACCGCTCTGTGGGCAGGGCCGAGCGGGGCCCCAACGGCAAGATCCACATGACGGTGAGGCGTAGGAAGCGCAAAGGGTGGGAGAAGACTGGCGCGTGGCAGGGCAGGGCATGCGAACACGTACCCTCATCTCTACACCCAACGCAAGCGATGCCCCAAAGCAGCGGTAACCACCACCACATGTTTGCGACCTGCACCGCCTGCAGTTCATCCGCTCAGACTCCCCCGCCACCTCTTTCCGGGAGCTGGGCAAGGATGGCATCATGAAGATGCTCTACTACGGGAGTGTGATGGTGAGTGTGGCACCAGCGCGAAGGCCACCAGCTAGCCCACACCAAGCAGCAGCCAGGCGGCTGAACCTGCAGCCACAACAGGGACAGCAGCCCAGCTGCTGTGCTGTGCTGAGCTGCGTTGATTTGCGTGCCTGCATGATCATCACCCGCCTGCCAGCCTCTCTTTCTCACCGCTCCACTACCCCCGCTGCTCCTGCGCCGCAGCTTGTGTGGGCTTACAGTCTGGTTTCAGCAAGAACAAGCTTGCAGCACAGACTTTGTTGTTCGAGCAAGGAGGGATGAAGCAGTAGAACAACAGGCAGGACAGGCCAACTGACAGGTCACCGAGCGTTTAGTGTGTGAGCGGGCAGGCAGTACTGCATGTCGTGGAGCAGGTGTGGTGCGGTAAGAGCAAAGGGGGTGGACATGAGAGTGGGGGTTCAGGGCGGGACTGCAGGCAGCGCAACGGTGGCGGTCAGCCAGCGCTGGTGACAGGCGGCAGCAAAGGCGGCGAGGCGGCACGGTTTCTGGCGGAGGAAGCGGTGGGGAGGATGGGGCTCAGCAAACAGGTCAGGAAAGTTGAGGCGCAGCGGGGCGTAAAGGGGGCAGGTGAGCAGCATGTGGGGGGCATCTTCAATGCCGTCGTGGCAGTGGGGGCAGACTCGCTGCTCTCGGGGGCGCCGCGTCCAGCGGCCGGTCTCTTCCGCGCCCCAATGCGACCCGGTGCGCAGCTGCGCCAGCGCCTCGCGGTCCTGCCGACGCCGTACTGCATCCAGGTAGGTCTCGCGCTGCCCAAACATGGCGGGCGCCAGGTTGAGGGCGCCCACCACGTTGTGCACATAGTGCTCCAGCCGGCTGGCGCCGCCCTTCGCCAGCGCCTCCTGGAGCTGCGCCAGCTGGCGGCGCTGCGCAGCTTCCCCCAGCCTGAGGATGATCGCAAAGAGCACTCGCTGCTCGAACAAGACGTGCGCTACTCGTCCTGGGAGAAGATCACTGACGAGAAGGAGGAGCAGGTATGAAGAGACTCACAACATCGGCAAGGGCTCCAGTGGAGCCGATGCGCAGCATGGCCCAGCCTGAGGGGTGGCCGGCAACCAGGGCAACGAGGGACGACCAGCGTCGGAATGCGCAATGGCATGGGCCGGCCAAGGTGCACCGGGTGCCTCATCCTGGGCATTTCCTTGCCACACCCACTGCTGCTGCCTGCAGGAGGAGCTGGAGAAGATTGCCAGTCTGCTGCCCTTCAGCACGGAGTGATGGCCAGCATGAGCATGCACACAGCTGAGCTGGCACTGCGATCACGGGCTCGAGCCCTAAACGTCCCCCAAGGGATGCCAGCCAAGCCAGAACTACAGTGGATTTGTCCACACAGTTTGTCAGTTGTAGTCTGAGCCACCTGTTAACCATCCTGAGCACCTCACCTGCCGAGGCCCACACTTTGAAACCTGTACATTGTGATGCACGATCCCCTGGGTAATGTATGATTGACGCTTACATGGCATATTGACAAAGGGAGCGGCAATCGAGGTAGTGGGTATTGCGGTACTGCAAGCGTGAGGGTACTGGCATTTGATTGGTTTGTGGTAAGCTGGCACCATCTGTTTGCTGAGAGAAGCACATGAAAGCTGACGTGTGAGGCGCAGCAGACTGAAAACTGAGGAACCGGCACTTGAAAACCCAGGGGATGTGAAGCATGGATGGGTTGTAAATGATGGCTGAGGTGAGGGGCTGCACATACATAGAAACTTGCATTGAGCAGAAAATGCAGGCGGCATATAAACACAGAAGCAGTGGAAGGGCAAATGGGCGGCAACTGGCGACGACGGAGCGAGAGAAAAACAGCAGCGCCTGGCATGCGACCCCAGGCAGGTAGTAGATTACACCCTGGCAAGGTCTGTTGCGCCTACCTGGGCAGCAGGCCAGTATCACATTATGTATGGCAGGAAGGACATGGCCCAGCCGCCGCTGGGGCTGGGCCCGTAGGCGGTGTTGAGGCGCTGCAGCTCCCGCCGCGCCGCCTCCCGCTCCTCCAGCTCTGCCAGGTAAGCAGCGCGAAGCGCCTCGGCCGCGGGGTTTTCGCCGCCGCCGGCAACTCCACGGGAGCGCGCCGAGGGAGGCGATGCAGCAGCATAGTCAGCAGCGATGATCACGCCGACTGGCCAGGGCGCTTCCCCGCCGGCGCTCGCAGCAGCGCCAGCCACGGGCGCACCAGTGCTAGCGCCCGCTGCCTGCTCGCCATCTGCGGTGCCCAGGCCCAGATGATCGCCTGGGTGCACCACCACCACCGATATCATGCTGGGCTGGGGCTCTTGACACGAGCGGCTGGCTGGAGCCTTGGCATTGCCTGCGGCAGAGCGGCGAGCGGGAGCAGCGGCGCTCAGGGCTCAGGCCGGGGCCGCGCCTGCACCGCTGCCGGCTTCGTGCAGGCGGACAGCCGGTGTACAAGCAGGGCGACAAGCAGGGTGCGAAATGCCTCTGCTACCTCCTGCCTGCCGCACCTGAGTTGGCCCCAGCTTGGCTGCCGCTGGCTGCTGCTGGGCCGCCCGTCTCTTCACGCCTGTTCCGCTGCCATGGCCACACGACGCAGCTGCAGCGCTGCTTGCTCCACAGCACCCACACGATCACTATGAAGGACACTAGCACCACGAGGGAGAGCGTGGCGGCGATGATGGCGACTACACTCAGGGTGGGCGGCGCGAGGCGGCGGTGGGCGGCGGCAGGCGGCAGGAGGGTGCATCCGCCCCCCATGCCGTTCGCGCTGTCCGACAGCATGCGAATCTTCCTGCTGCAAGCTGCGAGCATGCCAGGCCCCAGAGGGGAGAGACGCGCAAGGGCAGGATTTCGTTCATGCCCCAACTCGCCCTCTTCGCATTGCCCTGCTACTCGCTCGTTAGGGAGTCATTCTCGGAGTCAGAAGAGCTGCTCCCCATGCTCACCAGGCCGTCGCTGCACTCGGGAGGCAGCAACGAGGGAAAGGACGCCAGCAGCGCTCTGGCCCTCCTCCAGACCCTCTCTGGTGCACCCTGGCCTTGGAAGACAGCCAAGGGGACCGCCTCTCGATCGGTTGGTACTGCGCTGCTGAGTATCGCGCACTGACAGGGCGCAGGGATTGTGAAGGGCGCACGCCCTATAAATCTGCTGCACCAGAGAATACCGATTCAATGCAGCAGCTGCGGCGCGGCGCTGCTGTACAGGCTGCGCCCACCGCCGCCGCTCGTCCGCCAGGCCTCGGCCGCCGCATGCCTGAGCGCAGCCTGGGCTCCGCCAGCCTGAGGCTGCCAGGGGCTGACCTGACTGGGGCGCGGGTGCGGCTGTACTAGCGCGCCAACTGCGACGGCGCCGCCTCCCTGCCTCCCTGGCTCGCTGTTGGTGCCCCCAGCTCTGCTCCGCACCGCCAGCCACAGCACGGGCAGCGGCATGCGCCGGGGCTGATCGGTGCTGCAGCGCAGCCACGCGATCGAAGGCTCAGGGAGGCGGCATGCTTGGAGTTGCTGCCATGGCGTCCTGCCAGGCAGGCCTGCATCGTCTGCGCCATTGCTGTGCCCCGCCCGCCTAGCTGGCAGCGCGCCGCCGCAGCAAAAAGCAAGCAGGCCTGCCCCCGCCCTTGCATACCCACAGAACTCGCCAACGTTCCAAGTTGCCGCTAACACTCCCAAAGCCTTTCTGGCAGCCGTGCCGTGGCAACAGACCCCACAAGCCTGTGCAACCTCGCCGCCCGTTCCTGGGATCGTTCCTGCACATTGTGGGCCCTAATCGGCTCCCTTCCCGTCAGGAGCCTCTCGGACAGCTGGGCGCAAAGTGGGCGAGGAGAGCACCTGAAACCGAGACTTGAGGCTCTGTTCCTTGGCCGCACCGCCTAAAGCTGCCTAGCGCAGCTTGTGCGACGCGCCGGAGGCCGCAACCACAGGCAACCAGGTTGCCGACCGCGGCGCCCCCGCCCTCGCTGACCCGCTGTTTGCCGCCGTCGGCATGGGGCCCAGCAGCCCGCCCTCGCCGACGCCTCAAGCAGGCAGCTGTACCACCTCCCCCGGTAGGTGCTAGCTTGGGGTGCGGCGGCAGGGCTTTGAACGATTCAACACTGTCAGCCAGCTGACTTCGTGCCGCGGTTGCTGCTGCCCTCTCCTTTGCTCCCAGCAGGCAGAACCGGCATGTTGTCCCTCCTCGCCAGCAGCGCCTCTGGCTACCTGCCAGCCTCGCTCAGCCGCCGCCGGCTGTGTAGTGCGCCTCCGCCGCAGCCTGTCAGCGTGCCGGTGCGGCTGCTCGGCGGGGAGGAGGCCGTGGTGGGCGCCAGCGTGGACACAACGCTGCAGCAGCTGCAGCAGGAGTGCCAGCAAGCGGCAGGCGTGCAGCCCTACCTGCAGCGCATCTGCATCCAGGGTGATGGGCGGGGACCGTTGGCCGCCGGTGCAGCAGCCGGGCCACCCTTGCCGCTGCCCCGCTGCAGCCACGCCTCGCCGCGTCTGACCTGCGTCGCCTGCCGCGCTGGCCCTGCTGCAGAGGAGCCTCGGGAGCCGGGCCTGTCGGGCCTGCTGCGCTCCACAGCCACCAACCTGAGCAGCCGGCAACGCATGGCCCGCCAGCTCACCGACTGGTCCTCCTTCTTTCTTCTGCCAGAGGGCGTGAGCCGGGAGCTGCGGGGCCAGGGCCTGGTCAGCTGGGCGAACGACAACGTGTGGCAGCAGCTGAACGACCGCCGGCCGCCGCCGGGGACGGTGCGGGTGAGTGAGTAGCAAGGGCTACCGCGGGCCATGCGGGCAGGCTGCAGCAGGTGCCATCCTTGCGGCACCAGCAGTTTGCTTGTTGGCCGTGTGGACCAGGCGGGCAGCCAGCAGGTTTGGCAACTGTTTGAGCTGGCCTGCGCCCGCCCCACCCTGCAGGTGCTAGTTGCAACCCTGGACGGCAGGCGGCGCTGCATCCTGGTGCACAGCAGCAGCAGCATCGCAGCGCTTCGGCTCGAAGTGCAGCAGCGAGCGGCGATACCAGCAGACCAGCAGCGGCTGGTGGTGCTGGAGCAGCAGGCCCTCGGCGCACCGCAAAGGGTGCTGTGGGCGCTGCTGCGCCTGCTGCTGGCGGTGCTGCTGTGGGCGGGCAGCTGGCTGGTGGCGGGTGGGCGCTGGGCGCTGGGGCTGCCACCCTCCAGCGACGTGCACCTCCAGCTCGTGACGGAGAGCGGCCGTGAGGTACAGCTGGCGGTCAGCCCTGACACCACGCTGCAGCAGCTGCAGCGCCTGGTGTGGGAGCAGCACGGCGAGTCGCTCAGCCTGCAGCAGCTGCTGTCGGTGAGCCCCAGCAAAGCGGGCAGCAACAGCCCAGAAAAGCGCGGCGGCGGCGGCGGCGGCGGCCTGCGCCCGCACAGCCCTGAGCGATGAATAGGGGCAGGTTTCGATGCACATATGCCTTGCATGTTTGCCTCCATTCTTTGCATGCCTGCCAGATTGGCGGCACATTAGCGCACCTTCCCTAGTCCGCTTGCAAAAGGTGCGCATGCACCACTTGTTGATTTAAGTGAAAATCAGAGTATACAGAGTGCACCAATGTCAATGAGCCACCAGGAGTGAAGCAGCCCGCCGGCATAGACATGGGCGTGTTGTTCGAAAAACAGCAGTGGCCCACGGTGGGGGCGCCATGAGGCGGCGCCGCGGCTCTTCGGGAAAAGCGGGTTCCCTAAGCCTGGCCTGCATGCAGCTCCATGCCTGCATCAGCCCTATGCAAATGCCGCGCTGCCAGTCCCTGACCATCTGGAGGCGCTCCCGACGCTCCACCTGGCGCGCCTTGCCCCACACGCGGCCCGGGCATAAAACGGGGCCCTGGCTCTCGCTGATCAATCCCATCTACTCCCAGCGTACCCTCATATATTCGTCAACAGCCTCGCTACCGCTCCCCAGAGCTGCCCTGAGCACTAACCCAGCAAATGGCACTCTCTACCGGCCGCCGCTTCTCCGGCATGAAGGCCCCAGACACGCTTGAGGAGGCTTGCGGCATTGGAGGCGTGTGGGGCACCGGCCTTGGTGAGCGCGCCCGGCGGCGCTTCGCCTTGCACAGCGCCTCGGTCCCCGCTGCTGACCCGACGGGCATGCCTGTCCCTCGCTCTCCCTGCAGCCCCCTCTGGCGGCTTCTGTGGGATGAACACCGGTTGCATGCCCTACGGCACCTTTGACGATGAGCTGGAGGCGCAGGCGCCCAAACGCGCTGTCTCGGGCCGCCGCTTTCTGCTGTCGCTCTCTCAGCGGGTGGCCAGCGTCAGGCTGCAGCCTATGCAGCCGGAAGCGGATGTGGCGGAGGTGGCGGCCAAGGAGGCGCCGGCATCGCCCCGCAGCGTGGCTGGCATGGAGTTTGAGGCGGAGGCATCTGACGAGGAGGAGCAGTGAGTAGCGTAGCCTTGAGCCAGGCACACTTCAAGCTCCCCTGTCCACCTCCCCGACTATCTGCTGCATTCTCTCAATAAACATGTACTTGCATGTCTTGCACTCCCTCTTAATCTGAGCACTGGCATCCTCTCACCAATCACACATGCTTTCAGCGGCGCCTTGTGGCCCGCTCTGCACGTCCCACAGTGCACCTCCCATCCCTCACCTCGTGGGTTCCGCGGCCCGCCCGCTGCCTTGATACATCTAGTTTAATCTGCCCTCATTCATTTGATGCATCCCTGATTGATCATTGATAATGCTTCATCGCCGTTATCTGACCATGTTCTGATCGCCCTGCCATTCAACCGACACCTCCCGCCTGTATTCATGCAACAGTGCACCAATGAAGGGGAGGGGTGGACCGGCTGCTTATGCACAGCAGAAAAGATCCAGGTTGAGGACAATCCGATCAGTTTGTTGCAGCTTGTGATCTAGTCTCTGTGCAGCCATGCAGCGGCCATGTGGCGCGCCCCCGCCACATAGCGCGCCTCGTTGGCGGGCGGTGCAGGATGTCACGGGCTGATGAATAGAGTCGCTTCGTTGTGGCTAGCCACCTGTTATGCTGCGCCCTTGTATGCTCGTGCGGTAGTTGCTGTTGCTGTTGTGGTGCCGCCCGTCGGCCAAGGATTTTGGCACCGCTGGCACGCGATCGCTGAGGTGCCGGGCTGAGGGGCCGCCTACGGCGAGATGGTGAGGAGGCGGAGTGCGCAGGCCAAGGTGTTCCGCGACAACACTGTGCCAGGGGACTACGTGAAGCTCAGTGCAACGGCAGTAGCAATCAGCGACACCCCCATCTTTCAGCGCTTGCGATATTTGAAGCAATTGGGCATGGCAGGTGCGCCACCAGCTGCCGCCAGCCGGTGCCGACTCAGCCGCGCCCTGCCAGTGCAGCTCCCCCCGCCTGGCTGGCTCGTGCGTCCTACTGCCGCTCCTCTGCGTGTTCCTGTTGCCCTGCAGAGTTTGTGTTTCCCGGGGCCACACACACACGCTTCTTTCACTCGCTCGGGGTGGCACACCGCGCCAAGGTGGGGCAGGCTGGCGGGTGCAGTGTTGGCCCCGTGCTGCTCCTGTGTTCTCCCTGCGGCATGACCTGCAGTGCACACAAGCACAGCCGGCGGTGCTTCAGCGCCGCCCCCATTGGCCCTGCGCTGCTGCGCAGGAGTTTGCGCAGCGGCTCAAGAGCCGGCAGCCGGAGCTGGAGCTGTCGGATGCAGATCTGCTGGTGCTCGAGATTGCAGGCGAGGCAAGGGGGGCAGCGCTTCCCTGCAGCTGGGCCTGGGACCACTCCTGCACGCATGCCGGCATGCGTGTTATGGCACCCCGACCTGCCGTGCCCTGCTGTGCTGTGCTGCGCCTCCGGTGCTCTGCAGGCCTGTGCCATGACCTGGGCCACGGCCCCTTCTCCCATAGCTTCGAGTCTGAGCTCGTGCCGCACCTGCTGCCACAGGGGGAGACGTGGTGAGCTGCGCAGCGCGCCGGCGCCAAGACCAGCTGCGCATGTTTGCTGCAGGACAGCGGCAGCCGCTGCCGCGCCCTGGGTCCGCGTGCGATTGCCCGTCACGGGCTGCACCCTGCGCCAGCCCTGCTGCCTCCATCGGGCGGCGCCTGGCTGGCCTCGCCCCTTGCTGCGCGGCGCAGGGAACATGAGCGCATGAGCTGTGTGCTCTTCGACCACATCTGCCACACATACCATGTGGACCTGTCCCCCGATGAGCAGCAGCGCGTCAAGGACCTGATTGTGGGGAGCCGGGAGGAGGCCAGGGTGCGCGGCGTGGGTGGCGAGGCGGCGGCGCCGCACGGCCGCGGTGATGCAGATGTTGCTGCCGCTCCGGCTGTGGCGTGGCTGCAGCAGCAGCCAAGCTCGATGCCCGAGCAACCGGCTGCCTTGCTCTGCAGGCAGACTGGACTGGGCGGGAGTGGCAGTTTGACATAGTGGCCAACAAGAGGAACGGTGTGTTGCCAGGCAGGCTGTCCAGTGCTGCCCAGAGCTGCCCAGTGGCCTGAGCTCACTAATGCATTGTTCCCTTCTTTTCTTTCTTTCTTTCTTTCTTTCCCCACAGGGCTGGATGTGGACAAGCTGGACTACCTCAAGCGCGACAACGTGGCCTGCGGCTTCCTCACCACCGCCGACTTCAGCGCACTGTACGAGGCAATGAAGGTGGGGAGGCGGGCGGGCAGGAAGGCAGAAGGCAGGCAGGCACCCGCAGCCATACATGCACCCGAGCCAGCCACACACACATGCTTCCGGGCACAAAACACAGGCACGCAGGCAGGCTGCGCCTGGGTTGACAGCCGACAGCGCTGCCAGCCACCAGCCGGCGGGCAGCGGTAGCCTACCAGCGGCACCACTCAGCAGCCGGACAACCCACCCAGCGCTGGCGCTGGCGCTGCTGCGCCTGCCCCCTGCCAGGTAATCGATGGGCGGGTGTGCTTCCGCACCAGCGTGAGGTCTGTGGTGCAAGCGGTCTACTCTGCCCGGGCCCAGATGCACGAGGTGCGCGGGCCCTGCCGGCTGCGGTGTGTGTTTGACAGCGTGTGCGTCCATGCGGCTTTCCGAGGCTGGGATGTCCCCAGCTTGGTGGTTCCTGGCCCATCACTACACTCTTGGATAAATTTGCCTGCCCTGCCCCTGTCCTTGCCGCGCCTATGCCCCTGTTGCAGTTTGTGTACACGCACCCCGTGGCCAAAGCAGGTGTGTAGAACTCTGGGCGATGGCTCTTTTCGGTGCAGCCCTGCTGTGTGCTGTCGGTTGCTGCGCATGGAGCCTTACGCGCCTTCCAACATGTGTGTTGCTGTGCAGTCGAGTACATGGTGGTTGATGCGTTGCGGCTCGTGGCGGGAGAGATAGGCATCCCAGGTGGGCCTTGCTGCCCGCCTCGCCTGCACCCAGCCTGACAGCGGGGCGGGCTGTGGCAGGGCGACACCCCGCCCGGCTGAGCCTGCTGCTCTTGCGTGCCATGCGTGCTGTGCCATGCCGTGCAGAGGCGCTCCACGATCCGGAGCGCTATGCTCTGCTTGATGACACAATATTGAGGACCATCGAGCGCTCCACCAGTCAGGTGACCTCCCCATGCCACAGCCACCACAGTGTCACAGCAAGTTCCAGGCTGGCAGCGCCCCGCCCCGAACAAGCCCCCGCCCCTGCTGCCTGCCGCAGACATCTACAATGCTGGCGGCTCAGGACCTGCTGCGGCGGCTGCGTGTGCGCGACATATACAAGCATGCAGGCAGCGCAGACATACCCCAGGTGGGTTGGCTGGGTGCCACACAATGTGGTTGGGCTGGCTAGGCAGCCAGCACCCAAAGGGCTGCAGGAGGGCAGCCTGGGTGGCCTGGGCTGACGCAGCTGCCTGCTGCTGATGGCTCTGCAGGACAAGGTGGAGACGTATCCCAAGGTGAAGCCGGAAGAGATACTGCAGTGTCAGGTGGGGTGCCAGTCGGCGCGGTGGGGCATCGGCTTGCTGGCACAACGTGCACACGCGTGGGCTGCTGGCCCGGTGCCAGCAGCTCAACAGAAGTGAAGCGCTCGCTGGCGGCCGCCCCTGCTCCACCGCTGCGCCGCGGCGCTGCTGTACAGGACCCGGCCAGCGGGGTGCAGCTGCTGCCCAGCGATGTGCGGGTGCACAACCTCAAGATAGACTACACCCAGCACAACGAGAACCCGCTGAAGCACGTGGTGCGCTGGCGCGCAAGCCCTTGGTTGCCTGCCATAGGGAAGCCCAGCGGGCACCCGCGTGTGGCACGGTCAGCAGGACACAATAGTGCGCCTTGCCATCCCTACCTTCCATGTTCTTTGGTGTAGGGCTTCTACGTGAATGAGGAGGACGAGGAGTGTGTGCCTTTTGCACCGGGCAACCCCTTTGCGCCCAGCACCTTCATCACCAGACAGGTCGGTGCCAGGATTTTCTTTTTTTCCAGCCGGCTGCAAGCGCGTTGCCATCTCCCGCCCTGGTTGCCTGCCGTGCATTGGCTGCTCTGCAGGTGCGCATCTACCTGGTGCGCCTGTGCAACAGCCCCGAGGAGAAGCGGCAGTATAACGAGGCAGTGAAGGTGGGCAGGGGAGGCCTTGCAGGCCTAGGGGCGACGCCAGCAGCCAGGGGTGTGCTGAAAACAAACCTCCTCTTGCAGGCCGCATTCGCCGCCTGGTCCAGGAAGGTGCTGCAGACGGAGATGCTGATGTCGCCGCAGAAGTCCACCCTCACAGCCTCGGGTGAGTAGGCTGCTTGCTTGCTGGGCCTGCCAGCATCTGGACCCCCCGCCTGGCGCCGCAGGCGCACATCTGGGCACGCGCCGCGCCTGTCACTTCCCCTTCACTTCTCCTTAGTTCCAATTAGCTTCTAAGCCACTACATTCCACATGGGCTCCCCTTTTGCAGCACGCAAGCGGCAGCACCCCGGCAGCAGCCAGCAAGGCGGCACCGCGCCGGGCAGCCGGCCCGCGTCGGCGGCGGGGACAGCGACTGCACCAAACGGCATTGTGCAGGCAGGTTCGGCGCTGGATGATGATGACCAGCCCGTGGCATGCAGCCAGAGCCACGAGCCTGCTGCAAAAAAGCTCCAATTTTGATCAGGCGCACGTTGCCCTGCTCGCTCTGCCAGCCTCGCCTCCATTCTAGTTGCTTTGTTACACACTGCTCACACTGCTCAGTGATTGTTTTGACCACATGCCCTCTGTTCAGTCTATGCTCCGTTTCTGGCATCTGCTTCCCCCTCAAACCGACACATCCTGCCACATGCTACACAGCAACCCTGAGCTTCACGCCACCTGGCTGCCTGCTGTCGAGGCAGGGCCGCCTGCTGGTCTTGAGCAGCCGCTGAGACGCCGCGGCCAGGCCATTTCAGGACGGCTTGGGGGGGCGGCTGTTGGCCGCCGCCACGCGAGCGCCCCACTCCAGCAGCTCCTTAGAGCAGTCATCTCTGTAGCATGCCAGAAACAGGTGGGGCAAGAAAGGATTGTGACAGACAGGTGGAATGCCAGTTGCAGGATGGGAGGCATTCACAACGACCATTCACTGAGGATCAGGAACGAGCCCGACAGCCCGACATGAGTCGATGCCTGCAGCTTCCAACCCTGGCCAGGCTAGCACGACACGCACGGGCCATGCTGGACCGCGCTGACGTGGCGCGCCTGTGGATGATGCACTCGATGAAGCACAGCCGGTCCTTGGCCTCCCGCCGAACGACCTTGACCGCATCAGCCAGCTCTGCCTCTGTGCGCACCTGCGGCACGCCGGGCGTGCAGCGGCAGGCAGGCGCGTGGAGGGCAGACTTCTCGCCTGGACAGGAGCTAGCGGAGTGGCTTCGACGGCGGCGCCAAAGCCCGCGCATGGTGTGTGCCGCTCAGTTGGGCGACCCACCCGCGTGGCGAACAGCTGGCCCTGCCCATTCTGCATGGCCTGCACCAGGCCCACGTAGTCCCAGTTCTTGATGACGTTGTAGGGGCCATCATGGATCTCCACCTCAATTGTGTACCTGCAGGCAGGTTGGGCAGCAGCCACGTGGGTCGGGTCTGAAGCAGAAGGGCATGGGGACCAACTCACTCCTGCCTCACCCGCCGTTGTTGATGAGAAAGATGATGGGGTTGAGGTTGTACCGCAGCATGGTGGACACCTCCTGCGCCAGCTCAGCACCAGGTCAGCACAGCAGGCACAGCATGACCGCCCCGCAGTGCGCCCGTTAAAAGTGCAAGGCCTTTCTGACAAGTTGCTTCGTCCCGTCGGCAGCGCAGCAGCTCACTCGCCTGGGCAGTCATCTGGAAGCTGCCATCGCCGATGCAGGCCAGCACGCGGCGCCCCGCGTCCCTGCCGGCCATCGCCAGCCCCAGCGTGGCGCCCACGCTCCACCCGATGCTGCCATACTGCTGGGACCAGTCGTAGCGGCAGCCGTCGGGCAGGGCGAGCTTCTGGCAGTTGAAGATGGCGTCGCCAGTCTCGCCCAGCAGCATGGTGCTGGGCTGCAGCAGGCCCTGGATGTGCTTGAACAGCACCTGCAGGGACCGCGGGGCACAGGACTGCGATGGCCACGCGGCTGCCAGCAGCCTGCCAGGACGCATGTGAGGCTGGTCCCAGACTGCATGCCTCAAGCATGAGCCATCAGCAGCTGTGGCACGCATGCGCACCCCCACCTTGGTCTGCAGCGGGGAGCCCGCGGGGGAGGGTGCCACCTCCGGCGGCGGCGCATACAGGCGGCGGTAGATGTCCATGCTGGTGGCGTTGGGCTTGAGGCGGCGGGCGGCCAGGGCGGCCAGGAAGTCCCGCATGTTCACGCAGCCAAACACCTGCAGGCAAGCAGGCAGCACGGCTTCAGGGAGGAGCCTGGCGCTTTGCCAGCAGCGCCAGCCAGGGCCCAGGAGGGTGGCGCCGGCAAGGGCCCAGCCGGCTGCAGCCTCGGCGTCGACCAGCCCGGCGCCCAAACCTGGCCGCCCTTGCCGCCGGCGATGGTGACTCGGTAGGGGTCCACACGCACCATCTTGGACTCTGCAGCAGGCACGGTGAGAGAGGAGCAGCGACGGCTAGTGAGGTGCAACGGCACGGGAGAGCGGACGCTGCTCTGCTCATCAGCGCACGAGAGGCAGGGGTGGTGCCAATGCTTGATCAGCTCAACCGCAGCCAGCTCCCCATGGTTCTGCGGGCCGCCCGGGGCCCGCATACAGGCTGCAGGCCGCAGCTGCTGTCGACCTGACAGGCCCAGGGTATATCCAACAGAGGCATAGTCAGAGAAGACGGGGCCGGCGACGAGGTAGGCATCCGCCGACTCAACCACCTCGGAGACGCAGGGCGCCGAGATCTGGCCCCAGTAGCTGCAGGCGTGGGTGCAGATAGGAGCCAGCTCGGCTGTGCCAGGACGCTCCATGGCTGCATCCACAGTGGCGGAGGTCGCCTCTCCCCATGCACCCTGCAGCCAGCCAGCCAGCCAGTCAGCCAGCCGCGCTCACGTTCCCATGTACTGCCTGTGGCTCTCGGGCACCAGGCTCTTGGCAGCTACAGTCAGGGCGGGAGAGCAGAGGGTGGCAGCAGCTTCATGCATGTGAGATCAGGAGGCATGCGGCGGCCTGGTCACTCTAACGCTACCATGAAACAGCACCGGGCTGCTCACAAGCACCGCACCTGCCATGTTGGCATAAGGGTAGCCGCTCGCCTCCACACACTTCATGAACTGCTGGCTGGCGCCGCCTCTGCAGCACATTGTGGCATTGGGGGGCAGGAGGATAGCAGCACAGGGCCAGCGGCAGAGGTCAACCAAAGGCAAGCCAGCTATGGAATGCGTGTAGCTGCTGACTGAAGGATGTTCCGCTGTAAGCCAGTAAAGGCGAGAGCCAGTGCAGGCCAGAGCAAGGGCAGCATATGCGGCCCGCAGGCGCCCCCGGCGCCAGATGCCGGCTCACATGCGCAGCTGAGGGCCGGCCAAAGCAACCGGCTTCTGCTTGCTCTCCAGGAATGCTGCCGCTGCCTCCACCGCGGCCTCTAGGCTGCGCTTGTTCGACTGCTTGGTGGAAAGTGAGTAGGGGATGGGGCTCGTGTCAAACGAGGGATGGTGCATGCCTGCACGGCACGTGCAGCGGGCACCAACAGCAGTAGCCCTGTTGGTGTGGCAGCCACCCTGAATGTGCCTGCTCTGGCGAACATGTCCTGGCACCATGCATCACGCCGCTGCTGCCGCCGCCGCCGCCGCCGCTGCCGCTTGCCGGCCAGGTTGCAGCAGACGCAGATGTAGGCGGGCTTGGAGTGCAGGAGCGCGGCTGAGATGGCCTTGTCAATCTCCTCGTGCGCATCATCCAGGCTGTGGATGACCACCTGGCGGCAGCAGCAGCGGTAGCAGCCGGGCCAGGGTGCAGGGCATGGAGGTGGTACCTCGGTCGGGCAGCAGCAAGACTGACGCAAATGCGGGTGCCCCCAATGGGGCAGCACGAGCCCTCAGCAAGCAGCGCGGCAGCACCTGCTCGCACGTCACTTGCTTGAAGGCTTCGAGCTCTTGCATGAAGTCAAACTTGCGGCCTGTGCATCATGATCAGTTGGGAAATCTGAACGCCGCCAGTGGCGCTGCGTTGCAGGCTGGGTTCCAGTCTGCCTGCCCTGCGCTGCTGCTTGTGCTGATAACGATGCATGGCTCACCCAGGGTGTGGTGGATGAGCCTGTTGGAGGCGAAGTCGTTAGTGTTGGGTCCGCCAGTGATACAGATGACCGGCAGGCTCTCCGCAAAGGCCCCTGCGTGGCACGGAAGGCGGAACAGCACGCCGCACGGGCTCGAGCCGGCTCCGCTTATGTCAGCTCAGCCTGGATGGCTCTGCCAGCCCCAAAGACCATCCACCTGCGATTGCGTTGATGATTGACAGGCCACCGACAGTGAAGGTCACGACAGCGCATCCTACGCCCTTCAGGCGACCATACCCATCCGCTGCATAGCCTGCACGGTGAGCGGTCGAGAACGCCCAGCAAGCGTGGCGTCACTGCCACGGCGGTCGCTGGCGACAACTGGGGTGGTGGAACAAATCAAAGAGCCTGGCGCAGGCGTGTGCCATCACTGTTTGGTGAAATCCTGTGACGTCCCGTGACACACCACAATTGCTTGCCTGCATTCAGCTCGTTGCAGCACCAGGCACCCTTCAGGCCTGGCTCCTTCTCCAGCTCATCCAGCAACTGCAAGGAAGGGCAGCAGAAGGAGCTGTGTTGGGTGCCACGCAGAGCTGAACAAGCTGGCGGCGGCTGGACCGGTGAGGACATGGCGGTGCCGAAGCGGAGCTGGCCGGGACTTTGCGCCGAGCCTGGCGCTGCTGGCACTGGACACTTCTGGCCACACTTTCGAGCGCTAGCTTCCTGGCGCTGCGCTCAACGCTACGTCAGGGCTCGTCCAAGGCTCTCATAGAGTGCCTGTAAAAAGGTAAAGGTGGGGAAGAGCCTCCACAAGCTTCACTTCCCGGTTTTAACGTCTAGCTTTAGACCATTATTTGATCTGCCCGACGCGCCAAGTGCAGTACCCCCCACTAGTAGTGAATGGGTCCCGGGGAGGCCTGTGCCGAAGCCTTGGCGATTCTATTAGGCGTTCCCGAAGGAATTGGCTTGGATTGGCGCTGAGCCGGTCAGCTATGCCGCGTTTGTCCTCACAAAGTTTCGCCTGTGCTTTCAGGACTTAGGCGGCGTGGACTCACGGTCAGGTTGTAGTCGCCCGGCACCCCAAAGAACCGGCTGCAGCCAATCTGCACCAGCCGTGAGGCCAGGTGCTGGCCCAGGCTGCGGGGCTCCACCGCCGCCGCGGCAGGGCCGGCGGTAGAGGCCATTGCCGCTGCCTGGCTGTCAGATACGAGGTAGGGGCAGAGGTTGCTGTGATGCACGCACAGATTCTCGTTCCAAGGCACAAGAGAGGGCGCAACTGAACGTCTGGCAGTACAGGTTGTTCAGCAAGTACACGAGCCCCAGTAGCTCTGGGCCGGTGACTGCAGCCAATAGCTAGTATCAGTAGGTATCCGGCGCCCGTTGCGCTCGTTATTCGCCGGCCGGAGCTTGCTGGCGCTGGCTGGCGCGATGGGGAGGTTCAAGCTGGCCAGCGAAGAGCGCCAGGTGATGCCATGCTGCATGGAGCAATGCAATGCTGCATGGAGCGAATGCAATGCTGCATGGAGCGGACCAGCCGGCGCCTGCCTACATGATGGCGGGCGGGTGGCGGCCGTCCCCATCAGGGACCGCCGCTAGGAAGTTTGGGGCTAACTGGGCAATGCCGTATCTCTCACTCCAGCTCTGACTGCTCGTCTCGATTGACTGTTGCTCAATTGAATGCTCGCCGTTGTCCGACTGTTTGCAGGCAAGCCTCGGCTCCAACCCTTTCTTGTGGGTGGGAGTCCTGGCGGTGATCACTGCCGCCGTATTGGCGCTTGCCATAGTGCCAGCGGAAAACAACAAAACCATCTTGCTGCGAATTGGCAGCCACGCTGTATCGCTGTCCCTGGTCCGGCATGACCCAGACAGCAGCAGCAGCATGGCTGACGATGTCAATGGTGAAGTAGAGGGAGAGCAGCAGCCCGCCGAAAAACAGGCAGCGGCAGAAGGCGAGCTGCAGCCGGCCGAGGGAGAGGAGCAGCCTGCAGAAGAGCAGGCAGCGGGCGAGGGAGAGGAGCAGCCAGCCGAAGAACAGGCAGCGGCTGAGGAGGAGCAGCAGCCTGCAGATGGAGAGGAGCAGCCTGCAGAAGAGCAGGCAGCAGCCGAGGAAGAGCAGCAGCCGGCGGAGGGAGAGGAGCAGCCTGCCGAAGAGCAGGCAGCGGCTGAGGAGGAGCAGGCAGCGGCAGATGGAGAGCAGCAGCTTGCCGAAGAGCATGCAGCGGGCGAGGGAGAGGAGCAGCCCGCCGAAGAACAGGCAGCGGCTGCGGAGGAGCAGCAGCCGGCGGAGGGAGAGGAGCAGCCTGCTGAGGAGCAGGCAGCGGGCGAGGGAGAGGAGCAGCCCGCCGGAGAACAGGCAGCGGCTGAGGAGGAGCAGCAGCCGGCGGAGGGAGAGGAGCAGCCTGCTGAGGAGCAGGCAGCGGGCGAGGGAGAGGAGCAGCCCGCCGAAGAACAGGCAGCGGCTGAGGAGGAGCAGCAGACGGCGGAAGGAGAGGAGCAGCCTGCGGAAGAACAGGCAGGGGCTGAGGAGGAGCAGCAGCCGGCAGATGGAGAGCAGCAGCCTGCCGAGGGAGAGGAGCAGGCAGCGTCCGGGGAAGAGCAGGCAGCAGCAGATGGAGAGCAGCAGCTTCCCGAAGCGCATGCAGAGGGCGAGGGAGAGGAGCAGCCCGCTGGCGAAGAGCAGGCGGCTGAGGAACAGCAGGCTGCAACAGAGGGTGATGTTGCGGCCACCGAGGGCCTGCCCTGCCAGGCCAGCGGCTACTGCAGCCTGGGGAAGTCCAAGGTGTTTCGGGGGGACATCGCCACCAACTCGGCGCTGCGGGAGATGCTGGAGGCTGTGGCTTACGAGAAGGAGGTGGGCTGTGCGTGTGGGTGGCGCAGTGGCGGCAGCTGCTGGTGTGGTAGGCTAGCTGGCAGGCTGGCATGCTCTATGGTGGTTTCCAGTTTGGGGACCACCGACTGCCAGGACTTGGGTGGTGGTTTGAGGCAGAGCCAGCCAGCCAGTCAGCTGGGCACTGGGATGCAGCTCCACCCAGCAGCTTGCTCCTGCCCTGCCTTACCCTGCCCGGCCTGCCTTACCCTGCCCTGCAGATCATCTTCACGGTGAGCGATCTGGTGGGCTACCAGCTGGATCTCTCCCTCAACGTGATCAAGTCTGCAGAAGCGTTGGGTGAGCTGCTGCTGATGGCACAGCACCGGCACCAGCAGGCGTAGTGGCTGTTGCTGTGTTGCAGGGCATGCGTGTTTGGGGACAGGCCCGGGCCCTCTGCAGCGATGCTGCTTCTGGACTGCTGCCAGGCTGCTCCCGTGCGGCGGCCAGCGTAAGCCCTGCGGGGCGGCAAGTCGGTCCCGTCCCCTGCTGCAAGCGCTCCCAGGGCCCTGCAGGCTATGGGCACGCTCTGGTGCTGTCGTATGAGGCCGAAGGGTGCGACAGGGTCGCGGTGCTGAGCGACTCCACCAGCTGCGTGTGGGATTCCCGAGAGATAGTCAGCTCAGTCGGCAAGCCGGGCAGCCTCGGCATCCTGTTCAACATCTACACCCGGCGCTGGTGGGTGGGCGGCAGGCAGGCTGGCGGCATGCCGAGGCCTGGCGGCAGGGTGCTGGCGAGGCAGGCGGCTGCCGAGGCTCAGCGACGATGCTGCTGCGGGGCGCAGTTTTGTTCCTCCCTCTTCTATCACAGCAGCAGCGGCAGGTGCTGTGTTTTTTGCAGCAACAAGCAGAGGCCCCGTGCATCTCATCGGCGCCGCTTCGCTGTTCTCCGTTCCCGCAGGGACTTCTTTGCCCGCGTTGTGCGGATGGGCTACAACGCGCTGTCTCTGGATGCAGGTCTGCCTGCAGTTTGGCCTGCCATGTCCCAGAATGTGAACAGCCCGATGTGCATTGCCTGCGCAGCTGCAGCAGCGGCAGGGTTGCGTTGGCAGGTGCCTGCAGCTCTTCGGACAAAGCTGATTCGTTTTGCCTTGCCCCCGCTTGCCTCGCCCATGCAGACACAATGCTGACAGTTGACTTCTATTCGTTTGTCAAGTCGCCGCCATTCTCACAGTATACTGCCATGACTCAGGACGATGGCGGCGGTGCGCTCTGCTGTGCCTGCATGCGGCGGGCCTCTCCTGCAAAGCATGCTGCCTCGCTGCTGACGCGAGCTGTCTGCGCTGGTGTTGGCCTGCCTGCGCAGGGGTGAACTGCGGGGTCGTGTACATTCAGAATGCACACCCATCTGGCCCCGCGGTTTGGATGGCTGTCGAGCATGCCTACCGCACAACCAGGTGAGCTGCACAGCCTGGGCCGTGCAAGCATTGCCTTCCCTGCTCCTCTTGCCTCCTCTTCCACTCCTCCCTGCCCTCGCCGCCGCAGGCAGCGGGAAAACGAGGCGCACATGCGGTCTGTGTATGAGAGATGGGATTTCGGGGACACTTGGGAGCAGCCGTACTGGAATCAAGTGGTGAGGGGCTACCCCTGGCGAGGCACCACCCATGCATGACAGCTTGCAGGCCACGTTGCACTGCCTGATCTCCCAACCTCGCCGCTTGCTTGTCTGGCCTGCAGCTCACCAGCGTGACGAGCGGCAAGCCATACCACGGGCTGGGCGACAAGGACCACGAGGAGTGGAAGCTGGAACTGGAAGGGCGCTACTTCCACAGCAGGCTGCGCACCACCGAGGTCACCTGGCCTCCAGAGTGGCGCAACGTGGGTCACCAATGCCTGCCGCGCCTGCTGTGCAGCGGCAGCGTACACGCGCTGAGCAGCTGCCCTGTGTGGCGCCGCCGTGCTGCAGCAGACGGGGCTAGAGAAGGGGCCGCTGCAATCGGTAGAGGACCTGTCGCTGCCGGTCGTGGACGACGAATGGTGGGGCAAGTTCTCCAAGTACATCTATCCGCCCGAAGAAGGCAAGGTGTCTGCACAGTTCATGGAGGTGAGCGGGTGGCGCAAGGCTGCGCCTGCCTGCTGTGTGCACCCCTGCCCTGCCTCCTTTCGGCCAGGCCAGGGCGGGACCGCACAGGCTGGGGCAGGAGCGCACAGGCTGGGGCAGACCGCCTGGCGTCCCTGCTGTGCAGCTCATCCGCGCCTCCTCCGACCATCCTTTCTTCGAGCTGGGCAAGCCCTGGGACCCCACAGACCTGCCGCCAGAGCACTTTGCCTTCTTCCCGTGCTTTTTCACCTGCGCCTATGCCTTCCGCGGCTGGCATGGCTACTGGAACGTGAAGCCGCCTGCAGCGGTGAGTGGGCTTGTGTGTGGCCTGGACCTGATGGTGCGCTGGATGCCCTGCACAGGCAGACCATGCTGCATGCATTGAGCAGCTACCAAGAATGCTGCGCATGTGAATGTCCGCTGCGCTGGGTTTGGGGTATGTGTTCCTGCAGTGAGTGCATTGGCCTGCCATTGCTCTGCCCACACTCTGCAGGTTGTTATGCACGATGTGTGGCTGCCAGCAATTGCTGGGGACTGGAAGACGTGAGCAGTGCTGGCTTGGGGCTGCCGCAGTGCAGCGCGGCACTGAGCCAGGCTGCTGTTTGTTGTTCTGGAGGCAGCCAATGCAGTGCAGGGCTCACACTGCGTGAATGTGATCTCACGCTGTCGCTCTTTCTTTCTTGCAGGTACACTTTCAAGGGAGCGGGACTGTGAGGCGTGCTGCGCGCCGCATGGGTTCCCCTGCCTGCCACCCTTGCAGGCCGCCTTGCCTGCCTCCACACTCTGATCGTACCTCGACTCATCACTAATTGGGTGTCCGCCTGCTGCTGCAGGTTCCATTGGGAGATCACAGAAGCCCGCCGCGGCGACAACGTGCTAGGTATGGCAGACCCCAAGCTGCTGATGCTGGCGCCCGGGGTGCAGCTGTTTACAGACACCGAGCAGTCCTTCCTGGAAGCTGCCAAGCAGGTGGGAGGGCGGTACGGTTTGGTTTGGCGGCGCAGCATGCGGCTCAGCATGCAGTTGGCTCCCGGCTGCCAGCCTGGGGCTGCGCGGCGCGCCACTCGTTTCGGCGCAGCGCTCCTCGCACAGACATCGACGCTCCCACCTCCTTGCCCCGTGCTGCCGCTGCAGCTGCTGCGGCTGGCGGGCATGATCGGGAGGCAGCTTGTGATGCCCAACCCGCCGTGCGACAGCATGTGGGTGGGCCTTGTGGCAAACCCCGACTATCCGCACCCCTGGCTGCCGCTGTGGCGTTACAATTATGACGGCCTGCAGGCAAGGCCGTTGCCCGCCAGCTGGCGCCAGCTGGCGCCAGCTTGGCGCCAGCCCAGATGGAGCCACCAGCGGCGCCTGGGCTGCCGCCGGCTGGGCAGCCCGCGCATGCTGCTGCTGACTGCTGCCGCCAGGCTGCCACTTGCACCTTCTTGTGCCTGGTCCAGCTTTGCCCAAGGCAGCTGCACAGCCCGGCGCTTGCCCGCCCTTGTGCTGCTGCAGCCTGAGCCGGGCACATTCTGCGTCCTCTTACTTGCTACTCTCTTGCGGCGGCTGCCTGCTGCAGGTCCTCCAGCTGACCGAAACCATGCGGCCAGGCGGTAGCCAGACATACTGCCACTGGATGCGCCACCTGGACGCCCACTGCATCGACGCGGCGCACCCGCACGCCGACGCGGTTGCCTTCCTGGAGCGGTGGCCAGACAGGGAGCAGGCGGACCCCGGGGAGCACAACATGCTGTGGCACGCTGAATGGCAGGCTGCGGGGGGCGCGGCAGGGCCGCCGCCCGGCCCGCCCGCCGCTGTCACCGCGCCGCAGCCCGAGGTCGAGGTGCCTGACGCAGAGGCGGTGGTGGAGGCGGCGGCAGCGTTTGCCGACTGGCCGGTGCTGTTCCTAGGGGCGGTGCCCAAGCTGGGCAGCGCCGATACGCTGGCGCCGGTAGAGGAGGCCCACAAGAGGTGCCACCTGTTTGGGGATGGGCCTCAAGGCTTTGAGCCGAGCGGCACCGCGGGCGACAACCGCCTGGCCTGGCTCAACGGCACGCTGTGATTCGGTCAAGCAGTGCTCCTCGCATGCTGCTTTCCTTACGATGGTTGTTCCACGGCAGCCTGCCGACCGTCCAAATGGATTGGAAAAAAATACGGGATAGCCTGGGGAGTGAGAAGCAGTGCAGAGCAGCGAACAACGGGGCGCGCCAGCATCAGAGCACATTTCAGTTGCGAGAGAGGTGAATAGAGGGAGGTGGGAATCGAGGAGGCGAGCAAGCACGAGAGCTAGCGAAACAAAAGCAGGGTGTGGCCTGACTAAGTTTGGTACTGCTGGCCGCCGCCAGGAGCCCAGCACTGGCAGCCACTCCCAGCGGCAGCGGCTGGAACCAAGCGGGCGGCGGCGGCGGCGGCCTGCCTGGCTAGCACGGGCCCGCGGCCTCAGTCAAAGCCGCGGTGCACACGGGCGCGCGTCACCCTCTGCAGCGCCTTGACAAATGCCGCCACCCGCAGCGGGATCTTGTCCTCGGTGTGCAGCTCCCAGATGCCCTGGAACGCCTCCACCATGACTGCGGGCGCACAGGGGCGGGGGCAGGAGGGAGGGGGAGCAGGCCAGGGGGTGAAGCGGAGCTGGGGCAGGCACAGCGGGAGCAGGGCCCCACCGATGAGACGTGCAGGCCCCGCCTGCTGGCCCCAGGGCAGCCACGCACAGCGCCCCCCGCCTCCCCAGCCGCCCTTCACAGCACCCCCACCCCACGCCCCTGGCTGCCACCCCATCCCCGCGCTGCCGCCATCCCCGCGCGTGCCCTGGCCCCCAGCCAGCACCCCGTCCCTCCCCCCCACCCTCCCTCACCTCTGTCCAGCTTGCTGTTCACCTCCTCCTCGCTCCACTTGAAGTTCTGCAGGTTCTGCACCCACTCGAAGAAGGACACGGTGACGCCGCCGCCGTTGGTGTAGATGTCGGGCAGCACGGTCACGCCCCGCTGGCGCAGGATCTGGTCCGCCTCGGGCGTGGTGGGGCCGTTGGCCGCCTCCACCACGATCTGCGTTGGGGGAGAGGGGACCACGCCGTGGTGGGGACGGAGCAGGCGGGTGAAGCAAGGTGGATGGGCGGGTATGCGTATGCGGGCAGGCGGGTGGTAGGTGGGGTGGAGAAAGGCGGGGGTGTGGAGAGATCCAGAAGAGGCAGGCTGTGAGGCGTGGGCGGGCGCGGGGGCGGCGTGCAGGGGAGACGAGGCAGGCGAGCAGGGGAGGGACAGCAGCAGGCACTCCAGCCTGCGTCGCAACCTCGCCCAGCCCTGCTGCCACCAGCAGCTGCCCCCAGGCACCCAGCCCTCTGCCCCCAGGCCCGCCCAGGACCCTGCCCAGTCCCCCACCACCCCCGCACCTTGCACTGCAGGTCTGCCGCATTCTCCTCTGTGATGACGCCTCCGATGGCGGCGGGGATGAGGACGTCGCAGGGCACGGTGAGGATGGCTTCCTTGGGCAGCACCACGCCGCCGGAGAAGGAGGCCAGGCTGCGGGGCAGGGGCCGGCACGGTGTGGTGAGGCGGCGGCAAGCAATGGCGTGGTGTGGTGGTGGCAAGGGGGGCGGCCGTGGAGGGCGCAGAGAAGCGAGGGGAATGGGAGAGGGGGGCGTGCTGGGGGCAGGCGTGCAGCAGCAGCGCGTGCGGAAGCTCACAGCCGCCGGCCTGCAGCCCCGCTCACCATGCCCGGCCCCAGGCCCGCCCCCAAAACGGTGCGGGTCCATGCAACCCCGCTCCCCACCCCCGTCCCCACTCCCGCCCCTGCCTTCAAAACGGTGTGCCCATACCATACATTGCACGCCCCACCTGTGCCTGTCCGCCAGGTGGCGCCGCAGCTCGGGCACCTCCAGGCCGTGCTCGTTGGCCACAGCGCCAAAGGCGTCGGCCACCGCCACCACACGGCCGCCCATCTCGTAAAGGATCTGGGCCGCCCAGGAGCCCACGTTGCCAAAGCCCTGCGGGCCGCAGCAGGGGCAGGGGTGGGAGTTGGATGGAGCGGGGAGGCAGGGGGGCAGCGCGCGCGCTGCGCGAGGTGCAGGCCTGGCAAACTGCTGCCCGGGGCACACTGTTCCGCGGTGCCGCGCCCCAGCCTGCAGCCTCTCCGCCATCCCCCAGCCGACCTAGCCACCCAGCCAGCCGCAGCAGGCGCCCTCCAGCCCACCTGGATCACAAAGCTCTTGTTCTTGATCTCTCCCAGCCCCTGAGCCTTGAACAGCTCCCGGATGGCAAAGACGGTGCCGCGCCCGGTGGCCGCCTCGCGGCCCAGCGAGCCGTGCAGCCACACGGGCTGCGGGGTGGGAGGCAGGGGGTGGGGTGGGGGACGGGTGGCAGGACAGGGCAGGGCAGGCAGAGCAATAGGCGGCGTCGGGGCGATGGCACGCAGGGGAGATGCAGGCAGGCCTGGTGCTTCAGATGCATGCATACACAGACACGCACAGCGCACCCCCACCGCCACCCCACACACAGGCGCACCACACACAGACACGCCACGCACGCCGCCACCAGCCCACCACCACAACGAGATAATCCATCGCCGCCGCACACACACACGCCACCACCCCAGCCCGCACCTTGCCGGTGACGATGCCCGGGGAGAAGCCGGCGAACTTGGTGTACTCGTCAAAGATCCAGGCCATCTCGCGGGCCCCCGTGTTCATGTCGGGGGCGGGGATGTCCTCATAAGTGCCCAGGATGGGCCGCAGCGCCTGCACGAGGGACGGGACGGCGGCGGTGCCTGCTGGTGTGTGGCGGCGGCAGCGGTGCGTGGTCGGGGCGGGTGCGAGGGGGGCAGGCGGGGACGCCCCTCGGACGACGCTCGCGGGCTGGGAATGCCCAGCAAGCGGCCTTCCTCCCCCTCCCTCCCGGCCTCCCCACGCGCAACCCCACCCATCCTGCCCAAGCCTCCTGTCCGCCGCGCCCGTCCCCGGCCCCACGCACCTGCACCAGCCCCACGCACCTGCACCAGCTTGCGGGTCAGGATCTCCAGCTCCCGCTCGCTGAGGTCACGAGGGTCCACACACACGCCGCCCTTGGCGCCGCCAAAGGGGATGTCCATCACCGCCGTCTTCCAGGTCATGAGGGAGGCCAGGCTGCGGTGGAAAGGAGAGGGGAGGGGCGGCAGGCGGCAAGAGGGGCAGCCTGTTGAGGTGAGGGGCAGGGTGGAGGGCGACACCCACGCATGCCATGGCAGCTAGCCATGCTCCTCGAGGGGGCGCGCTGCGCCCCACACGAGCGCGCCACACGGCTCCTCCTCCTCCCAAGGGAGCGCCCCACACCACTGTCAAGGCCCGGTCGCAGCTGACAAGCCCCAAAGACAGGCGATGCGCCACTTAAAAAAAACAAAAGAACTCCCTCACCTGCGCACGTCGTCCAGATCAACGTCAGGATGGAACCGCAGGCCGCCCTGCGGGGCAGAGGGAGAGGGCGCAGCGGACCGGCTGGGTGGCGAGGACGTCGGTGCAGCGGGCAACCTGACAGTCAGCGGTGCCAGCACGGCGTGAGATGCGGTGCACCCACCCATGCCGCCGCCCCGCAACCCGCCCCAGCAGCGCCGCGCCGCCGCGCCCCGGCCCGCCCACCTTGTAGGGCCCGCGGCTGTTGTCGTGCTGCACGCGGTAGGCGTTGAAGGTGGCCACCTCGCCATTGTCCCGCAGCAGCGCCAGCTCCACCGCCACCTCCCGCTCCGGGGTGAGCAGCAGCTTGCGCAGGCGCTTGGGGTACTCCAGGTGCTCCAGGGCCTCTGCAGGCAAGGACGCAGAGCACAGGTGCGGGGGGAAGCAGGGAGGGAGGCGGTCGGAGAGGTGGTGTGAGAGCCGGGTGGTGCAGCAGCGGTGCAGAGCCCTTCCACAGGCAGCTGGCAGGGCAGTGCTGGAGGTGAGGCTTGCCATTGATGTAGAAGTTGGTGGCCTCCGAGTGCGACATCTTGGTGCGCCGCTGGTGCAGCTCTGCGCCATCCGTGGCCCTGCAGAGGCGAATGACACGGCGGGGCGGGGGGCGGGTGGGTGGCTCTGGGCCTGCACAAGCGGGCACCGTCCGATCGGCAGCGCAATGCCATCAGAAGCATATGAAGCATGGATACAAGGCTTTGCTATCCAGGGAACTGCAGCAAAGCAAAAGGCCACTGGCTGGCAGCCGCGGCAGGCGGAAGCGCCGCCGCCACCACCATGGCATGCATGCTTGGCAAGTCGGGGCTGGTCTCTCCCCCAGGCCCCGACATTCCAACCCAGCCGCGGCAGCACCTCCACATCCCGGAAACCCACCTGCGGGCGCCGCAGGTCTCCAGCCCAGCTGCCACCGACGGCAACAACCGTGACAGCCCGGCGCCCTGCAGCCTGCCAAGCGCAAGAGCCATTGATGCTGCTGCAGATAGGGAATGCCAACGCTGGCGGGGGGGTGGTTTGACAGGCGGAAGACTTTTCCGCCGCCCGGCAAAGAGGGGAACGAGGCTGCCGAGTGCTCTAGTGCAGCCCAGAATGTCAGGAAGGGAGAGAGGAACAGCGACAGATGTTCCTCTCGCTCGTTCGCCGCGACCGCCGCGTCCGCGCCAGCTGGCCTTGGTTTTGCACTGCAGGACCACCGCGGTCGAACGCTCGGCTCAGCAACAGACGATGATCAGTCTATGGGTTCAAGTCAAGGCTCGCCCAGAGCGCAGCGATGAGGGCGGGTGCGCCCCCGCCGCCGGCGCCTTGCACCGCCCCCCCCTGCCTGCAGTCATCGGTCACAAGGCTTTACTAATGACTAATGACTAACGACTTTTACATACCCTTCCTCTGGGTGCTACAAAAACTCCTCCACGAGCAGGAATACAATTTGGGAGAGGCCGTATATCAACAGGATGCCAATGGCGGCCCAGCGGGCCAGCCGCCACCCAAACACGAGTGGTATGGCAAGCAGCATGAAGGCCAGGATGGTGATGGTGGCAGCCACCAGCACTCCCACCCCCACAGACATCGCGTAGGGCTGCGGCTTCTTTTGCAGCGCCGAAAACAGCGTGGGCCCCGCCCACGCGCAGAGCACATTGAAGACAGGCCCCTGCAGGTCGGGTTGTGCATGAAAGCCCAGTCAGGCCATGTGCGCGGCTGCAGCGCGCCACCTGGGGGGCCCAGCAAGCAACCAGCACAGCCCCGGTGCGAGCAGCAGCTGTGCCTGGGGGCTGCGGCAGCCGCAGCCAGCTGTGCAAGGAGGGCTCACCCCAAACACCGCCGCGATGGCTGTGGTGGCCTGCCCCTGCCGCGCCAGGCTCATGGTTGCCACCAGCTCCGGCACCGCCTCGCCCCAGGCCAGCACCGTGGCGCCCAGAAGGTCCTGGCTGATGTCGCAGATGCGGCCAATGGACTGCAGATGGGCGGGCGGGTGTGGACGCATGGTGGGAGAGGGCAAGGGGGGGCAAGCAGGAGGCACCGCCGGACGGGGGCAAAAGGGGTAGAGCCCGCCAGCCGTGCAAAACCAAGTGGCGGCTGCCAATGCGCAAGGCCAAGCTAGGTGGATGAGCGCATCCTTATGCATGCATGGCGACAGGAGTGGCAGCAGGTGCCTGCCCTCGGCGCCACACCCCACCTCAAACAGCGACACCAGCTCATCTGCCGCCACGCTCAGCCACAGCATGCACTGCACCGAGGCCAGGACCGCCAGCACGCCGTTGCGCCGCGGCCGCCGCGCCGCGCACAGGTGCCGTATCCGGCTGCCGGAGCAGCCGGTGAGGGCGGGCCAGGCGCGGGCCCACCACCTGCCGCCCGCGCCGCTGCCCGCGGCTGCCGCAAGGGGGCTGCTGCCGCCGGGGGCTGCCGGCGCCAGCGGGCTGCCCCCGGCCACCGCCAGCACCGCGACGGAGCCGTTTGGCGTGCCGGGCTGCAGGCCGCCACTGCCGGCGCTGGGCCCCACGCCGGCCCCCGCTGGCTGCACCGCTAGCAGCACCAGCGCCAGCAGCGCCAGCGCCGACAGCAGCCAAGCAAGGATGAAGTGATCTGTGGACAGGTGGTTGGGGTAGAGCCCTGTGCTGAGCAGCATGAAGAGGGGCGCCCCCAGCGACAGGATCACCGCATACCACGGCGTGTAGTAGCCTGCAGGCGCCGAGCAGGGAGGCCGGGGGCCAGCCGTGGGTTATGACCGACAGAGCCCAGCGTTGGAGCCACGCGGGTGAGTTGTGCCAGCCACCAGCGACCAGCTGCCCCACGCGCACATGCGGGCAGGGAGGCGCAGGCGGTGCGCCCCGGCCGGGGGCCAGCGCCGCAGCCTGTCCCTCCCAGCGCGGCCGGGCCGCTCACCGGGGTGCAGCGCGGGCATGGTGGCGTGCAGGAGCAGCATGGCGGGCGACATCATCATCGTCAGCCACAGGGACGGCCCGCTCTTGCCCTTGGTGTGCAGCATCTCTTGCAGGCCCAGCGTCGCGCTGCTCACCGCCTTGCCCAGCCGGCTGCTGCTGTGGCCGCCCAGCTTGGCGCGCCACGCCAGGCGCGACGCCCGCGGCGTCACCCCGCCGGGAGGCGTCAGCCCGCCGGGCCGGCCGATGGCCGCGCCCGCGGGCAGCGCATCCGACAGCGGCGCACCCGCCACCAGCACAGCCAGCTCTCCGCCCTCGCCCTCGCCCTCGCCGCCACCATACTGCTGCTGCTGCTGCTGCTGCTGCTGCTGCTGCTGCACAAGCTTGCCGCCTGGCGCTGCGCCGCTGCCGTAGCCGGCATCGGCAGGCTTGAGCAAGCCATGTGGCGAGCCGCTGCCCGCCCAAGGCGCAAGCTCCAGCTGCACCATGCGCGGCGGCGCCTCCCCTCCCACCACAACCACGCCGCCCAGATGCCTGCCGCCGTCGTCTGCACCCGCAAACGCCGCCGTGCCCGCCTGCTGCATCTCTAGCTGCCCGTGAAGCTGCTGCTGCTGCTGCTGCTGCTGCGAGGGCGACACGGCGGCGTAGCCGTGGCGGCCGCCGCCGTGGGGCCCTCCTGCTGCCGCGCCCCTGCTGGTCATGACGCAGGTTGTGAGGTACGCTGCATAGCCCAGCAGCAGCAGGGAGGCTTCCCAGGCTGAGAACACGCCACGCAGCATGATGGCCAGCAGGGCCGCCGTGCTCAGCAGGTAGGCCAGCGAGTCCCGCACAAAAGCACGGCGGTCCTGCAGAGGGAGGGTACCGGGTCGGCACCGGCAGCGGCCGCGGCGTGAGGCACCAAGGCTGAGAGCAGTGGGGCAGCACGGCGTGGCGGCGTGCCAGGCTGGCGCCACGAGGCAGGCACGCGTGCCGGCGCCCGCAGAGCACGTGCCCGGCGAAAGGGCAGGCTGCCAGCTGGCGCACCATGATCTCCGTTGCGACGTCGCCCTCGTCTGGCGACCCCGGCGGCGGGCGGTTGACCAGCGCCACCACCGAGAAGATGACGGCGATGATGAAGAGGCCGCCGCCCAGGGTGGTGCTGCAGGGGGCAGGGGGGCAGGCACAGGGAGCAGCAAGAGTGATGGCAGGCCGTGCAGGCGGCTTGTGCCGAGCCAAGGCACCGCGGAACGCACGGCTGGGGCCCAAGCTCCAGCTGACAGCCGCAGCGGTGCTGGGGCCCGTCTCCCACTCCCTTCCCGTTTTGGAAGCCGGGAGTTGCGCGCAGAGTGTCGCAGCCAGTAGCGTTGCAATGCACTGCCAAACCTGCACCGCATGCGCCCCTGACACCTTCCCCAGGCACCTGATGGCAAGCTCCTGGTCCACGTTGCCCCCAACCGCCACCGCTGCAATCTGGGTGAACAGGTCGGGCGCTCCCGAGGCAAAGGCAAAGAGGGTCACCCCCGCCACGTCAGGGGTCATGCGCATCAGCTGGGCCAGATACTGCGACAGGCGCAGGGAAGCAGGCCGGCGGCGGCGGGCTGGTGCGCTGGACAGCAGAGCACGGGGACGCACGCTTTGAGCTCCGCCTCTGCTCCGCAGGCAGGCAACCCGGACACGGCTCCTGGCTGCCGCTGCCAGCACATGAGCAGGCCACCTGACGGGTGGCCTTTGGCCTCAGGCGACCCTGGGTTACCGCCGGTACCGTGGCGGGGCCACCAGCTGGTTGCTCCGGCCAGCCACGCTGCCCTAATGGAGGGCTCACCTCTAGCGCCGGCACCAGGAAGTCCTCTGCTGCCTTGCTCATCACCCAGAACAGCACCCCCATCCAGGCCAGGAAGAAGAGCGCCACCAGCACGGGGCCGTCGCCGTGGCGGCAGTAGAAGAGGGGCAGGTAGGCGATGTGGTGCACATCCTCGGCGCAGTGCTTGTTGTACTGCACAAACGTGCAGCTGCGGCGCGGCAGGGGCGGGGTGCGGCAGAAGGTGACGGCGCCGCGCAAAGGGGCGTGGGGCAAGGGGGCTGCACGGATGGCCAGGCAGCATGCCTGGCAACCGCCGGCGGCAGGGGGAAGCCTCGAGCGCATGGGCAATGGCGGCAGCAGGCAACTCACACGTCTGTGACATTAGCAAAGTAAGGGTCGCAGACGTGATCTCGCAGGGCGATGCAGCGCGCATTGTCGGGTGGGCAGCCCTTCTGACGCAGCTTGGGGTGCTTCTTGGCCGGAGGCGGGTGTGCTGCTGCCGCCGCCGCCGCGCCGCCGGTGGCTTGCGTCCCCTGCGCCGCAGCTGCCTGCTGGGGCCCGGCGGCGTCGCCGTAACACCCATACACGGCCGCCAGCAGCACACCGAGAGCCAGGAGCAGGCGGGACGACCCCATCCAGCCAAGCGGGAGTTGAAGGCAGGCCCTGCGCCTGCTGGTCAGTTGGCCGCCATTTGAGCGCGCTGAGCCTCCCAGGTCATCGCCAAGCCAGCAGGGACAAGGGGACAGCCTGCAGCTTGTTGCTGCAAAACGGGCCGGAACACGTCGCTCCCCCTGCCGCTTTGGAATGGACCAACTGGTAGCTACGACAAGTAGGGACGGCTGGGAGCGCCGTTTCCCATGTGGGCCAGCGGCAGGTGTCCCGCCCCCTGCACCGCCCGCTTTCTGCCTCTCCTCATCACACGCAGCCTGCATGCCACCCAAAGGCCCACCCTTTTCCTTTCCGCTCGCGGCCGCCAGGGACCAACCGCCAACCGCCGTACATGTACGTACATGTACTAGTGTGCACGTACACACTAGAAACAAATTTACACAAGCGTGACGGAGCAGGGTGCCAACGGCGCGCAACCTTCTCGGTGATGAGCATTGAAAAAATGAAAGGCAGGGCGTATCGAACGGATGAGAACGTAATACTGGCAAGAAATGAGCTGGTAGGGTGTCCCTGCGTTACGAAAATCGCCTGGCAGGCCAGGACAGCAGAGTGGAGTGCACTGCGGATGAGGTAGGATGCATTTGTGGCTGACCATGCGAAGGAAAAATGCAAGGGGCCGGCGACGAGCAAAGACCGCGCTTTGGGCACAACAAGGTCGGGGAATGAAATCCGGTGCGATGTTGGTTTTGGGATCGGGTGTCCAGCCGTTCAAAATGGGTGGCGCCTTCACAAGATGCGGAGGGAACGTTGGCGCGATGGGCGCCGCAGGGCCAGGGGGTGCGCTACGGCAGCAGGAATCAAGGGGACGAGGGCATAGAAGACGAGACGGCTTGGATGAGGCTAGGCGACAGACGGTGCCATGCCGGGGAGACAGGGAACGCGGCAAGGCAGAAGGAAGAGCAAGAAATTTCTAGAAAGCAAGGGAGGCCATTGGCATTCGTTGTTGCGCGTAGATCGCGCAAGAAAGAAGAGGAAGAAGAAGAGGCAGAGGGGGCGAGAGCGGGCCAGCCCAGGCAAGGCGGTGGCGGAGGGCGCCGGCCAGGCGCATGAGGGCAGCTTTATTGCGGGGCGTGGGGTGCTGCCAAAGGGATCGACAAGACGGGTGCAAACAATGGGGTTGACCGGTGCGCGGGGGGCAGGTGGTGACGGCGAGGGGTCCTGGTGGCCAAATCATCAAGTGTTAAAATGAAACGCTGTGCTTGGTGTGGTGGGTAGGTAGGAGGGGTGTGCTGGTCAATCACATGTGCCCATGGCCAAAGGAGAGCAGGCATCGGGCGGGGGGCAGGACTGAGGCCCAGCAGCTGGCCAGCACCCCGGGAACTCTCACTGCAGGCGGTGCAGCGCGGTGCCGCCCAGCAGCAGCTGCTGCTGCTGCTGCTGGGCCGCGGCGGCGGCCTCGTGCTCCTCAGGCCCTGCAGCCAAGGCAGCGAAGGGCGAGCCACGTGTCAGCAAGCAGCTGGGCAATGCCGCAGGTGGATGCGTGGCGCTCGACGACTCGACACCCAGCCCAGCAGCGCTCCTCCCCCACCAGGCCAGGCAGCGGGCCAGGCAAGAGGGGCAGGCAGCAGCACCGCAGGGGCTCATGGGGCGGCTTGCCTGGGGACTTGCAGGCGCCAGAGGTGCGCAGGCCGGGCAGCGGCGGCAGCGCCAGGCCGCGGCGGTCGCCCAGCACGGGGGCCGACAGGCGCTCGGCGGCGGTGGTCCCGGGCGTGAAGAAACTGGATGCAAAGGGGTTGGCGGTCTGGGGCGCCAGCCTGCAGCGCCAGGTGGGCAGGGCAGGCAGGCGTCGGCAGGTTGGGTACGGCATTGTGGCATCCACAACTGGCATCGGAGCGCAGCACACATCATTATGTATGCCAAGCGTTCGTTGATGCGCGGGCATGCGTCGGCAAGGCCCCGCCCTGCCCGGCCCCCACCCAGCGCAGCGCATCGGGCCACACCTGGCGGCGGCGCTGGGGCTGGCAGCCGCCTCGAAGCTCATGCGGGACAGGTCCTGTGACAGGCGGTCGGCGGCGGCGCCAGAGTCCAGGCTGTACCTGCCGGCCGCGGCGGCGCCGCCCCAGCCGCCGGTGGGCGGAGGGGCATTAATCATTGGGAACTGCTCCGGCACAGAGGTCAGCTGCCCGCTGTAATAGGCCTGCAGGTGGAGGCGGGGGCAGGTGGGGGGCAGGTGAGGGCAGGTGAGAGGCGGGGCGAGGGGGACGGGCAGGGAGGGAGGCGCCGGGGGCAGCGGTGGGTGGGCCTGGCAGCAGAGAGTGGGCCTGGTGCGGCGGTTGAGAGCAGCCGAGAGTGGGCCTGGGCTGCGGCGTGAGGCCCCTCCTGCAGCGCAACTCACACGCTGCCAGCCAGCGCTGCCCGTACGATACACCGAGGCCTCGGGCGTGGAGGGCCCGCCCTCCTGCGGCGGCACCTCCAGCTGCAAAGCCCACGCAGGCAGGCGTCCACCAGGCCGAGCGCTGAGCTTCGCCGCAGGCACACGGCCCAAGGCCAAAAACCACCTTTCGAACCCCCAGACCGCAGCGTCCGCCAGACCACGCAGGCCGAAGCAGCTGCCGAGGGCCCCAGAACGCTCGGCTCAGCCTGGCCCGCCCTCCCCGGCCCCACACGCGCCGCACCTGGCTGGGCAGGCTGCCAGAGGAGAAGAGGTTGGGCGGATAGGAGGCATCCATGCTGCCGCGGGGCGTGCCCAGGTCCATGCTGCCTCGCTCGAAGCTCATGCGGGCTGCAGCAGGCGGCAGGGCAGCGCACGCAGCACGGCGCGGCGGGGTCAGCGCAGCTGCGAGCAGGGGGAGCTGGAGGAGTGGGCAGGGTGGAAGGGTGAGGGCTGCGGGAGGCTGGGCGCGTGCCGCGGTGTGCGACTGCGCACACCCCGCCTGCGGCCGGGCCTCGCTAGCCAGCGGCGGGGCCGCAGCTAGCGAGGGCAGGGCAGCGGCGGGTGCAGGCACGCGTGGCTGCCCAGCAAAGCATTTTCCGGGCGACAGAGGCAAGGCGGTGGCACACACATGAATCATCGCTAGGCCTTGCTCCCTGCTGCGCTGCCTGCTGCTGCTGCTGCTGCTGCAGCAGCTGCTGCCTGCGCTGCTGCTGCAGCACGGCCTGCAGCGCCTCGTGGTGCCGCGCCGCCTGCTGGGCCGCCGCCGCCTGCACCGCCGCCCGCTGGTACTGCTGCTGGTGCTCCGCAGCCGCCGCCGCGCCGGCTACCACCTGCTCCTCCGACATCCGCCGCAGGGCTGCCTCCATGGAGGGCCGCTGCTGCGCCTGCTGCGCCGCCGCCGCCATCTGCTTCTGGCTGGCCGCCAGTGCCGCGGTGACGTCTGCCTGGCGCGGCGCCGCCGGGCTGGTGCTGCTGCTGGGGCCCACGCTGTCATCGCTGCCGCTGCTGCTGCGACAGGAGGCCAGCAGCTGGTGTGCACCTGTGTCGAAGGACGAGCGGGCGCTCTCCAGGCTCAGGCGAGGGTTGGGGTCCAGGCCAAGCATGCCGGCGGTGGGGCCGCCCTGCCACTGCACGATGCCGCCTGCAGCAGGCGGGATGGGAGCAGCAGCAGCGACGCGAGTCGGCAGCCAGGCGCAGGCCAGCGGGCGGGCCGAAGGGGGGGCGGCACAGCGGGCTGCTGGAGGGCGGCCGCGGGGCGCGCTGCCTGCTCCCCAGGGCCGTGCTTGTGGGCCCACACGGGTGGGAGCTGGGGGGCTGAGGAGCTGCCACGAACAGCACCGCTGGGCCTGGCCGGCAGCGCTGTGCGTGGCAGTTCCTCAGCTCCTTTCCCCCCGCCCGTGTGGGCCCGTGGCCGCAGGGCTGAGGGCCGCGGCTCCAGGCTGGACGCGGCACGGAGCCGGCTGGTGCAGCCCAGCGCGCAGCAGGAGCAGCCGGCCGGAGGAAAGACAGCAAGAAAAGAAAGCGAGGGAGCGGGTCGCACCAGGGTAGGCGTTGGCGAAGCCCATGGTCTGCGCCGCCTGCATCGCCGCCATCTGCTCCAGAGTCATCACGTGCTGGGGCGGCGCCTGCGCGGCGCCCGCCTGGGCCTGGCCCAGCAGCGCCGCCGCCGCGTTGCGCGCAGAGCCGGCCGCGCGGTCGCCGTAGGCGTCGCCGCCGGTGACGGACTCGAAGCTGCTGGCGCGGGCCTGCTGCGTGTGCTGTGCCTGCTGCGCCGCCTCGGAGCGGTAGCCCAGCGGGTCGCTGCAGGGGCAGGGGCAAGGCAGGCAGGGAGGCAGATGACCGTCAGCAGGCGTGCATCAGGCTGCCCCAGAGCCGCGCTGTGTAGAAACATTTTCCCAGCAGCGGCAGCAGCGGTCAGCCAGCCAGCCAGGCCCCCCGGACCGTCGGCCAGCTGTGGCGGCCGAGCCGGCCCCCAGCCGCGGCCTGAGCCCACCTGTAGCAGCGCACATCCTCCATCGAGCCGCGGGGCGTGTTGAGGCGCGCCTGCAGCGTGTTGAGCGCGTCGGGCGGCAGCATCTGCTGCAGGATGCTGGCCGCCTGCTCGGGGGAGACGCGGTCCTGCGCCAGCAGGCTGGTCACCAGCTCTATCACCTGCTGGTCCTGCAGGGGGCGAGTCGAGCGGGGCGTGTGGGCAAGTGAGGGTGCGGCGGCGGTCGGTGGCAGGCAGCTGGGGGCAGCCAGGCAGGCAGGCCTCGGCCTGGCACTGCGCCACATGCTGCAACCACGCGCTGTGCCGGAACCGAGGGGCACGCCTCGAGCTGCTGCTGCTCGCCATCCCCGCCCCGCCCTGATGTGGGGCCGCACCAACCTTGGAGCTGAAGCCAGCCCCCATCAGCTGCTGCAGCGCCTGGTGCACCGCGGCGTCTGCCGGGCTGGAGCCCATGGTAGCGTCGTCGTTGGTGCTGGGGCTGATGGGGGCGGGCACGCTGGAGGCAGACAGGCGCGCATCCGACGCCTGCTGCTGCTGCTGCTGCTGCTGCGCCGCGCGCAGCGCGTCGAGCGAGGAGCGCTGCGGGGAGGGGCCGGGCGAGACGGCGGCAAAGGCCGACAGCGGGCTGCCCACGGTGGCTGCCTTGCGCTTGGCCTCTGCAGGGGGGCGCAGGCGGCGGCGGTCGCGATGAGCAGGGTGCAGTTCCCATGCAGCAGCCGACAAGCCGGCCAACCCCAAGCAAGCGAGGCAGGGCGAGGGGTGGTTAGACCGCAGCGGGCGGCGGGCGCCGCACCTGCATCTGCTGCGGCTGCCGCCGCGGCCGCCGCCAGCGCCTCTGGAGACACAAACGGCTTGCAGGCGGGCACGCGCAGCTCATCCAGGCTGCAGCACGAGCAGGGGAACAGAGCAGGGGAACAGGAAGGCAGAGCGGTGAGGAAGGGCTCCCGGTGCAGCCGCTCGCAGTGACCTCAAACTTGGCTGGGCTGGCGCCTCTCCAAACACGAGCCAGCTCCAGGAGTAGCCTCCCACAAACGCACCTGTGCGCAAAGAAGCAGATCTTGCGCTTGCAGTTGCTGCCGTCGTTGCACAGCTGCGTGCGATATCTGCGGTACGGCAGGGGCAGCAGGCACTTGAGCGGCGGTGAGCGGCTGCTGGCTGCCGGCTGGGGAGCAAATCCGGGGTTCGAGCCGCGCATTGCACAGGCGACGCCAAAAAGGCTGGCGGTGGGCAAACTCGTCCGAAACAATGCGTGCTCAGCGGCCCGCGGCGGCGGGGCAGGCGGCATCCCCAGGATACGCCTGCAGCGGTCGCGCACCTGGTGGGGTGCAGCCAGTACTCAAACACGTTGTGTGCATAGGGGCAGTGGTCTCCAAACGCGCAGCAGCCCTCCTGCATCGGAGGAGAACGCAGGGCGGCGGGGCACCAGCGAGCGGCGGTCGGCCGCTGGCGGCGCATCGAGTGGCGGCGCTGCCCTGCTGCTGCCGGCGCGGGCCTCCAGGCTGCCGCTGCTCCAAATTTGTAGGGTTTAAGGGCTGGGGGTGGCGTTTGGGGTGCACCTCCCACTGCGTGGGCTGCCTTTGCTCGCTGCAGTACGGCGTCGTGCGGCGGCGGTCGGCGGTGGCACCCGCTCCAACCGCTGCCTGCTGCCCCGCCGCCCCCTGCAGGCCCTTCCCTGCCCTCCCCTCTTTCACAGAATGCCCCCAAGGCACCGAGCTTGCCTTCTTCATCGAGGGGCAGGCTATGCCAGTGTAGTTGTGCACGCGCGGGTCGCGCCGCCGCGCCTTCTCCTGGGGGTGCGCAAAGGGGCACTCTGTCCAGTCGTGCACGAAGCGCTTGGAGCACGGCAGGACCTGCAGGGGTGTCCCAGAGCAGGTAAGGCTTGGGGGCGGGGCTGTTTGGGGCGGGCAGAGATATGACGAATGGGAAGCTGGCGCGCGCCATCGGCGCGGATTCTGAGGCTGCCCGGTTGCGCTCTGCACGCCCCAGGCATCACAGAGGCGCTGGGAAGCGTGCCAGGGCCGCCGAGGCAGGCTGGCGGCGGGGCCCCGACATGGGAGAGCAGGCGCGAGGTGCGAGCCTCCCCGCGAGCGGAGGCGCCCCGGAGGCCTCCCTGGGGCTGCACAGGCGCCACCCCCACCTTCATACACTCCATCCTGAAGCTGTCGGTGCGATAGTGGGCGTCGTCCTCCATCGCCAGGCCCTCCGCGCTGCTCCCCGCCTGCATCGTGGCCGCACAGCTGGTGTGCCGAAAGGAATGAGTTGCTGGCGGGGTGTGGCGGGGTAGGGAGATGCCTGGGGAGCAAAACACTGGGCTGTTGTGTTGGAGGGTGCCCCACCGGCAAGATAGTTTAGCGGCTGCCAAAGAATTGAGAAAGCTAGCAAAGAATAGATAGGGGTGAGCCTGCGGGGTGCCGTTCCAAAACGTTCTGGTTCTGGCGCGCTGAGCTGTATCTCGCAAAGGGCATCAGATAGCAAAAATGGGTGGTGAACGAAATGTGCGCGAGCCTTCTGTTTTCAGGTCAAAAGTGAACGTGGGGCCTATAGGAAGAATGGGGAAGACGGTGCGGTGAGACGACCGAAAAGCCCGAGCGGCGGCGCGCCCCACAGGCGCCGCCGCCACCACCAGTCTCACGGCACCGCTGCGGCATCAACTAGTATGATGTTTACCCCAGAAAGCTGCTGCGGCTACTCGTTCAGCTGCTGCTGCTCATCCCTGCGAGTACGCAGCATGACTGGCAGTCGATTGCCCGCATGGAGGCGCACGGGGCGGCCGCCGCCGCTGGCCGCCGGCCCACTCACGCCGTGTGCTTGTGCCACTCATGCCCGTGACCTGCTGAGCTGCCTGCGATGCCTGCCCCTCAGAGCAATCTGCTGGCTGAGACATTGCTGCAGACATGAATTAGTAGCGAGCTTGTGTCGATTGAGCATGAGACACAAAGCCAGGCATGTGCTTGGTGTGCAGGGGGCGCAGGACAGAACGCAGCGCCAGTACGCCGGAGGCGGTACAGCGCCAGCAGGCTGCCAGCCTAGGCGGGCTAGCAGGCTTGCCTCCCAAGCCTTCTTCGCAGGCAGCAACATCGCTTCGTGCCATACCAGCACGTGCGACGCCCCCCACCCGCCCGCTTACGGCAGCTGCCAACCGTATGGGGGATTTGAGGCTGGTGTGGTCCTCCGCAGGGGGCGGAGGGCATGGGCTGACCACAGCGGAACTGGCGAGCGGGCCAGTGGCAGCTGCTGAGCGCCGCGGCCGAGGCGCATTGCTGGGGGCAACGGGGGGCAGTGAGCGACAGGGGTAGCGGGGGCCGACGGCATCCGATGGCGGCGCGCGCCGGGGAGGAGGCCGCAGAGCAGGTGCAGGGGACTGCGACGTCAGCGATTGTGGCGGTTGTGTGCCGTGCTCCGGGCGGCGTAGCAGCCACATTGCCGCCGCAAGGCGGCAACGAGTACGCCGCAGGGAGAGCGGCAGCCAGTGTTCCGGGGACAGCAGACAGCTCGGGCAACGAGACGGCAGTCGGCATGGCAGAGCGCCCGGCGGCGTCAGAGGCGGCGGGGACGCTTTCTTCAAAAGCGGCGCACGTGAGCCGCTAGGCTAAAGACATGGTGGTGTGTAGTCAGACTGTGTATTCGTTCCCCATTGTCGACATTCATCGCTGCGTGTAACACACACAGACCCACAGGGTCATCAGACCAGTACCAAGTGCCGCGTCACTCCACACACATTTGTATGACTGGAACGCACACCAGGCCTCTCCTGGCCTTCTATTATGCTTCCTAATCACATTAAAGTGCTGCTCGGGTATTGCCCCTGATCATTGAGATTACATGATCAGCAGCGAGTCACTGCACGTCCACCCAGGCACCACCAGCTGCCACCGAGTCCAGCACACCCCAGCATGCCGCTGCAGGGCCGCCAGCGCCGTCTCGTGCTGCTGCCGCTGGGCGGCCAGCGCCGCTGCGAGCTGGTGGACGGCAGCCAGCGCTGAAGCGCGGTGCTGCTCGTGGGCCGCCAGCGCTGCGGCACTCTGGTGCACGGCAGCGCTGGCTGCCGCGCAGTGCGCCTCCGACTGGCTCCCCAGCGCCGCTGCATAGCACTGCTGGGCGGCCACCATTGCCGCCGCCTGGCGCTTGTGGACTGCCTGCGCAGGGCGGCCAGGGACGCGTCGCACTGGCGCTTCAGCTGCGCCGCGAGCACAATCGCCTGCTCCTCCTTCTTACCCCGCCGCTTTTCCTCCTGCCGCCGCTGCTCCTGCTGTTGCAGCGCCACCTGCCTCTCCCGCCGTCGCACCTGCCCCTGCCGCCACCGCCGCCACCGCTTGCAGCTCCATCTCAAGCGCTAAGCTGCTAGATGTGCATGCGCCCCACCGCATCCAAAGATAGTCACAGCGGGGCCCAGTCATATTGATAGCAAGAAATCCCAGCAACCTGGAGCTGTGCTGACCGGGGTGCGCCCAGCGACGCGTGCCGACGCACCGAACCAGGTGCCTGCCTCAGAACCAGGCCGGCGGGGGCACGCCCGCCGGAGGCGGCCCCGCCACCAGCGCCGGCAGCAGCGGGGCCAGCGCCCGGTGCACCACCCCAGCCTCCGCTGCAAACACGTCCAGCGCCTGCTGCAGCCCAGCGCCCGCCGCGTGGCTCTCCCTGACAGACCGCTCCCACTCCTCGCGATGCAGCCACTTGGCCGCGTGCTTGCGCAGCTGCGGGTGCGTGAGCAGCCGCCAAGCCGCCGCCGGAGCTGCACGGAAGGCGGGCGGCCAGCGCAGCGGCGAGAGGGGCAGGCAGGGGTGGTTCAGAGGCCCTGAGATGGAAGGAGGATGTGTGGCGCAGCAGGAAGGGGATGGCGGCCAGCCAACCAGCACAGCCAGCACAGCCAACCCACCCAGCGGCTCGCTGCCGCTCAGCGCCCGGCGCAGCTCCTCGCGCGCCGCCGCCGCCGCCGCCCCCGCTTGGCCCGCCGTCCCCGCGCGCCGCTGCCCGCCGCCGCCGCTGAGCCAGATGGTGAAGCAGTAGCGCTCGGCGGCGGCGGGCAGCACGCGGTGCAGCATGTGTGCTGAGGAGAAGAGCACCATGCGGTCGTTCAGCGGCTGCACATCCACTGCGGGCTGCAGAGGGAGGGGCGTGGCGGGGCGGGGCGGGGTGGTGGACACCCGTGCACCAGGCAGCCGGGCGCGGCCCCGCCCAGCGGCCGCCCACGCCCACGGGGCACTCCCTAGGGAAGACACGCGGCAAAGGCAGAGGAAGGCACTTGCTGCGCGCGCCGCGGCTGCTCCCGGCTGGTGCTGCGGCCCCACGCGTGCGGCCCACCTCTGGGAAGGGGTAGAGGCGCAGCTCGCCGCCGTCCCCGGGGCGCCACCCTGGGTTGAGGTACCAGATTGCGGTGACGCGCCGCTCGTCCACTTGCTCGTCCGTGTCAAAGTGCATGGGGAAGCTGCCGCCGCCGCCTGCGCCGACCGCGATGCGGGGTGAGCGGGCGCCGGCGGGGGGTGCAGGCACGGAGCCGTGGCCCAAGGCAGGCGAGCATATGCCGAGCGACATGTGAATGGCACCACGCGCCACCGCAGCCAGTAGGGCTGCGATGCTTCCACTCGCGCCGCGCAGCCCCGCAGCACCCGGCAGAATGCAGCGGTACAGTGGCGGCCCACGCTGCAGTACCTGCATTGTACTGCAGCTTGATGGCCTGCGAGTGCAGCCTGAGCTCTGGCATGAGCAGGCTGAGCATGACCCGCAGCGTGCCGTCGTGCTGCAGCTGCGCGCACAGCGGCGCCAGCTCCTGCGGCGGCGGGTCGCAGGGGCCGGAAGGGCGGCTTGGGCAGGGGCTCTCAACAGTTGTCGACAATTGGCAGAGGCACCAGCGGCACTTAATCAAGAGCGGAGCTGACAAAACACCGAGGCAAACGTGTCTTGGACCAGCGGCGGCTGCCAAAACACAGCCCCAGGCGCTCCCCCACACCTGCGTCTCTTTCTGCATTAGCTCCGCCTCCCAGATGTGCTCCTTCTCCAGCAGGCCGGTGCTGCCGCCGTGCACCAGGTGGGTGTGGTTCTTGTGCATCGCGCCCCGCACCGCCGCCACCTCGGCGCGCAGGGCCGCCGCCGTCTCGGGCCCAAACACGCCGTCGATCACGGCAAAGCCGCGCCGCCGCAGGTGGTCGCACACCTGGGGCGTGATGGCATGCTGCAGGCGCTGCACCGGCACGGTTGGCGGCGGCGTGGTGCTGCTGCCGCCAGCGCCGTCGCCGCCGCTGTCGCTGCTGGCGGTGCTGGTGGCGCTGGCGGTGCTGGTGCTAAATCGGCGGTCCAATGCGGCTGCTAGAAATATCGTGGCATTCAGCGCAGCCAACGGAGGTGCTGCTGCGAGGTGGGTGCTCCATCTCCCGGCTCCAACGAGCCACGCAAGGCTATTCATTGCGTGAGTGAATCACACAGTCCAATCAACTTGGGGAAGGGCGTCGGAGGACTGTCAAGACAGGGTTCAGCTTCCAGCGGGCCATCGCCAGGCGGGCGCCGCAGACCAGAGAACGGCTGGGCATCATGCCAACGATGGGCCATCCAGGATACTGCCATGCCATTCAGAAGACTTCCCTGCCGCCTTGCCCCTGCACTTCCAGAGGCAGCGGCGGTGAGAGCACAGGGACCTCCGCTGGGCGGCCAACAGTGTGCTACACAACAGTTGTGTGTGTGGTCAACAAAGAATGAGCAGCAGAAGAAGAGAAGCGAGCCAGGAAGGACGGTAGCTGCCTGGGCCGGCAGCCGCATGCTCAGGGGCTGTCGCCGCCGCTGCCGCTGCTGCCGTAGGCGGCGAGCCCCATCAGGGCGGCGCCGCCGCTGCCGCCATCCGAATCCTCGCCTGCCGGGGCCGCCGCCGCCGCCTGCTGCTGCTTGCCCGGCTTGGCCCCCGCCGCCTCCCCCTGGACCTTGCGCTTCACCACCACCGCAACCGGGCGCACCCCAAACTTGGGCAGCGCCGGCGGAGGCTTGTCGGCCGGTGCCGGCGCTCGCGGCTTGGCCGCCGCCGCCGCCTGCTGGTGCTGCTGCCGATGCTGCGTGGCCTCGGCCTCCTGCTGCTGCCCACCCGCGGCGGGCGCCTCCGGCTGGGCATCTCCGCCGCCGCCGCCGCCGCCGCCGTGCTCCACGTCGACCGCCGCCGCGCGCGCCGCCGCAAACTGCTGCTGCATGAAGGCGTCGCCATCAATGCCGGTATCTTCCGACCCCTCTGACAGCTCCTCCTCCCACAGAGCAGCCGCCATGGAGGCCACCGCCGCGCCGCGCATCGGCTTGGCGGCGGCGGCGCTGGCCGCGCGCGCGGCGGCGGCGGCCGAGGAGGCCGCGCCGCCGGGCCCTCCGGCCGCCCCCCGCCCCTCCTCCTCGTCGCTGTCAGACAGCCGCCGCACAAAGCCCGCGCGCTGCAGCAGCATGCGCCTGCGGCAGCGGGGCAGCAGCAGGGCCACGCAAGGTCAGCATCGCAGCCGACAAGTCGAGAGGCAGAGGGGCAGCGTGGGGAGGCAGCAGGCACAGCAGGCACTACGAATGAACCCTTCCGACTGCAGACCAGACTGTGCCGCCTCACCCCAGCCAGCCAGCAACTCAGCCCCAGCCAATCGGACGCCACCACCACTCCTCCACACAACCACCCCTGCGCAGGCCCGCCCAGCCCACCTGACCGCCTCCTCATCCTCCTCCTCCAGGTCCACCTGCTCCTGCTGCGCGCTGCGCTTGAGCGCCGCCAGCGCCGCCTCAGTGTCCACCTGCTCGTGGCGGGACTGCAGGCAGGAGGAAAGCAAGCCGGCGGGCGGACAGGGAGATGGGCGGCGGCGGGGTCACGCTGCCGCGGCCCAGCGCATGCGCGCGCCCAACATCTCAAGCACTGGAAACCTTCCGCCCACGGCACCTCGACACACACACACACACACACACACAAACATACAGCCCTACACACCACACACCTCCACTCACACCCACCAGCCCACCTTGAGGCTCTTCATCTCGTCCAGCGCAGACAAAGATGTCCATCTCCCGCCGGCTGTCCAGCGTGCGGTTCTCGAGTGCCTGGCGGGGGCAGGCGGGGGGTGGGGGTGGGACAGCATAGGGGGCGGGCAGCAGGGGCAGGCGGGGGGTGGGGGTGAGACGCCACAGGGGGCGGGCAGCAGGGAGGGCAGGCAGGCGGGAGGCGTGACCAAGGCAGACGCGCGAGGGGAGCGGGAGTGGAGTCTGGCTGGGCGCTTCTTGGCGCCAAACGGCCACACAGCCTGTGGCAGGGCGACGCGCCGCGCCAGCATGGCACGACCCGCAGCGCTTGCGGCCCCGCCCTCCGGCCCCCACCAGCCCCCGCTTGCCTTCATGGCGTTGCCCCGCTCCTCCTCCTCCCGCGAGGCCACCGCTTGGGCCACAGCCTTCTCCTTGTCGCGCCAGGGCTCGTAGTTGCGGGTGGCGCCCGCCTCCAGCTCATAGTCTGCGGGGAGGACAGGAGGGAGGAGGACAAGGAGGACAGAAAACGCAAAAAGGGGGTTGTCGGAAGGAGGGTCGAGGTGCGGGGCCCACGAGCTTGCCGGCGGCGGCGCCCGCCCTTGAGCAGCTGCCCCCTGCCCGCCATTCCCCAGCCCTACCCGGCCAAACAAAAAGACAGGCAGGCAGGCAGGCAGGCAGGCAGGCAGGCAGGCAGGCAGGCAGGCAGGCAGGCAGGCAGGCAGGCAGGGAGGCGGGCAGGCGGGCAGGCGCGCACCCGCATTCTGGGGGTCTGTCTTCATGCAGAACTCCGCGGAGCAGTGGGTGCAGCGGTAGTAAAACCTGGTCGGGTTGCAGGGCAGGGGGCGGGCAGCGGGAGGAGCGTGGCAGCGCACAGTGAGCTGCCAACGGCGTGGCGGGAGAGGCGCTTGCTACCCACGCCCCCTGGCGCCCTGCTCCCCTCATCCACCCCACGCAGCCACGCAGTCCCTCCCCCACCCACCACGCACACACACGCACGCACACATGCCACTCAGACACATGCACCCACACATGCCCACACAGCCCCACCCACACACACGCCGACACACGCACCAACACCCACACACACGCCGTCACATGGACCAACACCCGCACAGCCACACCCGCACAGCCACACCCACCCACCCACACGCCTCTAGCCCCACCTGAAGATCTTGATGCCCAGGTAGTTCTCCCCCCGCACATCCTCCATGCGCGTGTTGAACTTGGTGCCCTTGTACATGAAGGTGCCGCACACGTTGCAGCGCACCGTCATGGGCAGCATCATCCGCACCTTCATCTGCTTGTCCTCGCTGCGCACCTGCGGGGGTTGGGGCCGGGGGTGGGCAGGGGCAGGGGCAGGCGGCGAGGTGCGGGGCGCGTCAGCAGAGGGCGGTGGGTGCGGGGCCGAAGGGCGTGGATGGAAGAGCGGCGGCCAGCGGCGGCGCCGAATGCGCGGCGACCCCGGCGGCGGCCCCCCGGCATGCCGCCACTCAGCGCCCACCTTCTTCATCTTGGGCAGCTTGGTCGGATCAAAGTCCGGCGGGAAGTAGCGGTTGAGCACCTTGCGCTCACCCATTTTGGCGGGGGGTGGGGCTTAGGGAGGGGGCCCGATGGCCTGTGGGGGTGAGGTGCTAGGCACGCACGGGAAGCGCCGGCTACAGCAGCACGGCGCTCTGCAGCGGCAGGGCGGCGGGGAAGGGGCCAGCGTGGGCGTGAGCCCAAGGCCCAGGCGTGCAGCGGCGGGCGGCGGCGGCGGCGGCGGGGCCGCACTGGACTTGGCCCTGAGGGCTGCTGCTCCAGCCTGGTGCCAGGCGCGGGTCACCACCAGCTATTGAACCAGGACAGCCAGCCAGCCAGGGCTGCAGCGGGACATGGTGATCGTGGCAAGGGTGATGCTGCACCGGTGTGCCCCCGCGCCTCACCTGTAGCAACTTTTAGTGGCTAGGGAGGCCCACACGAGACTCGCCGCCCAAACTTTCGCAGCGAGCTGGTGTTGGCCACTGAGTGCGCTCGCCAGCTGCAGCGCCTGGAAACTGTGCAGGCGCAGCTATGGAATGGGTCTTCAGGCAGCAGAAGACGCAATTCATGCAGCTGGCTTTCCAGCTCATCCCCGCTGGCACCGCTGCGGCACCGCCTCCCGAACCAACTCATGTGAACATGCAGAGAAAGGGACACATCCAAGCCCAGGTTCCTGCAATGAAATTCAAAACTTAAAACCACCTTGGAAATTAAAAAACCAATTTAAAGACGCAGGGGTGGCGACCGCCTGGGGAGCCCGCTACTGCTGGTTGCCGGGCCAGTCCGCAAACTGCCCCGAGTGAATGTTGTTCAGAATCTCAATCCAATACCCGTCTGGATCTTTGATGAACGCCAGGTTCCTGCGCTCAGGGTTTTCGGAAATCCGATCATGATACTGGAATGGCGAGTGAAGCAGCAGCCAAAACCGTCGCATCAATCACAGTCATCGAAATGACAGCCTGCACCTCTCACCTCATCTTGCCGTCGTTGGGCTTCTTCACAAACTCCACACCCAGCTCCTCAAACCGCGCGCAGGCCGCCTCCACGTCGGGGACGCACAGCCCAATGTGCCCTGCACCAGGCCGGCACAGCAAGGCACCGGTTTGCTGCGGGCCATGCCAACAACCAGGCATCACGGAAACGCTCTGGTCGCCCTTCCTTGCAGCATGGCCAGCGACATCCTCGACACAAGTGCCCACCAAAGCCCCGCGGCTGGGTGTTGCCATTGTGGTACCCCTTGAAATCTGGGTCACTTTCGGTGCCCCAGTTGTGCGTCCTGCACGGGTATCAGGTGCTTGCCAGCAGAGATGGGAGACTCAGAACAAGCAGCAGTGGCAGTGGCATCAGCGCTGGCAGCTGGCGCGACGGCCCGTTTGTGATCAGGCAGTCGGCGGCAGCAGCAGCGCTCACAGCTCCAGGCAGGCTGGCAGGCCGAACATCCACTTGGCCCGCTCCACTGCACACAGCAAGGGCGGGAGCGAAAGAGATTGAGCCAAGCTGTGCAGCTCCCGCACAACAACACAAAACCTGTGTTGTTTCACTCACCCGGGTCCGCTGGCACGTCCTCAGGCGACTGATAGGCCAAAAAGTAGAGCGAGAACTGCGAGCAGGGCGCGAAAGAGGGGTGGGTCGTAGCAGGCCCTTGGCATGGACAGACAGGCGTACCGCCGAGCAAAAGCATCGGCCCTTGGTATGTTGGCATGAAGGAACAGGCGGCAGCAGCTGGCGGCAGCTGTGGGCCACGGGCTGCGGAAGGTCAGACTGCTGAACACGCGGGCTGCCTCACCTTCATATCTGCAAAATCGAGCTTGCAAAGCAGCCTGCAGGTAGAGGACAGAGGGAGAGGGAGGAGGAGGTGAACAAGCTGCAACAAATCTCGGTACCGGCAACCCTTCCAGCAACGGCAGATGGCCGACCGCACGTCATGCCCAGGACTCGTGTGTAGAAGTCAAGAGACGGCTGCGGGTCCTTGACGCGCAGCATGGTCTGCTGGAACACAAAGCCATTCGTCTCTGGCGGCGGCATGGACACGCCCTGCACGGGAGAGCAGGCAGGGCGCAGCGTGTGGGCGGGCGGGGGTGGCGCCAGCGGCGGCACCCTCCGCCCTGCGGTCTTTAGCCCTCACCGGCAGCGAGTGCAGCTCTGCCTTCCCGCTCGCCATGGTCTTGAGGCACCGCCTGGGAACTGCAATGAGCGCGCATGTTGTTGACAAGCTTGAGGAACCAGAAACAAGGATTGCTGTTTAAATGCTGTCACCAGGTGATGATCATCACCTGATCGGCAATGCGCACGAGCGGGTGGTGAGCGCCGAGCAGTGGCAAAGTGGCACCCCGTTGCGCAACCTCCACCCAGGGCCAGCATAGGATAGGACAAGGAGTGTAGGCAAACGAAGGCGCGATCTATCTCTTGTACGCTGGCTGCTGCTCCCATGCTGCGCGCTGCAGCGCCCGTCTGGCGTCAATTGTCGCGCTCCGCCCGCCCCGCCCCAACTCACAGATGATTCTTACACATTGCATGCACGAGCGGGTCAGGTCAAAAATGCTCAGGCGAGCGAACTGCAGCTTGCCGCCACAGCATGTGGGGGGCAGCGCAAGAGCACAACTGAACCAGCGCGCGGCAGGTCGGCGGAGGCAGTTGCAGAGACAGAGAGTAGAGTACAGGAGAGGGCTATTCAAGAACTAAGAGCCGTGGGTGCACGGGACGGATCAGCAGTGTACGTAACGCTCTTGGGGCAGAGGGAATGAACTGAGGTGGGTAGTAAGTGTAGTATGGCTGGGCTGTGAGTTGAGTGCCGGCAATGTGGGCAGGGTGCTCCAGAGTTGTTCATTTGCACCAATGGCGGGCTACTGCCTGTTGGCCGCCGCGGCCTCCGCCTCCTCCTCCTCGGTGGCCGGCTGCATGGAAGCAAAACGAGAGCAAAGGGGCGGTGTTTGCTGTGCGGGGGCTGCACACTCCAACAGCAACCAACAACGCTGCATCCCCAGCAGCCAGTGCTCTCCCGCGCTCTCTCACCAGCGGCTTTATCAGGAAGTCAAACTTGTGGCCGTGGCTGCTGTAGGCATACTTGAGGTGCTCGTGCCCGTGCCCCTCTGCAGCACGACGCACGGCACCGCAGTGAGCATTGGAGGTGCGCCCCACAACAGAACGCCGAGCACAGCGGCAGGGGAAGCAAGGGGCCCAGCGTCATGCAGTACCTGGGCTGGTGGCGCGGGCCCCCGCAGACGGCGGCCGCTCAAGCCGCTTCTCGCCGCTGGTCACCACAGCCTCGGCGTCCTCGGTCACCTGCAGCCCAGGGGAGCGGCACAGTGGTAAGGAGGGCATTTTCGGCGATGCTGGCGCGTGGCGTGGGTGGGAAAGCGGGCAACAGGAAGCAACTGGGTTGCTTCACAAGCCTCATGGCCTGACCACCGCATGTTTCGGGGCAGTGGCGCTGCAAACACCAAAGTGTGAAGCAGACCATAGCGCCCCAGGCTGGGCGCCCGTCAGCTCCAGCACCACCCGCCCGCGCCACCGCCAATCGCTCACCAGCTTGCTGCCACCGCCGCTGCTGCTGGTCGTGCGCTTGCCGTAGGTGTAGGTGGGGTTCAGGGCTTCTGCGGGGGGCGGGAGGGGCTGGTTAGGGCAGAGCCGAGGAGATTCACCTCCGCCAGCACCAGCGGAGGGCCTCAGGGCCTGTCTAATATGTTGCCAACATTCCACGGCACGCCAGGCTCCCCTACCCGAGAAACGCCGCATTGCCAAGACCATGTGCCCGATAACTTTGAAGCTGGGCTTCTTGCGGGCTTCCATTTCTTTGCGCTTGACGCCGCTCAGCGTCTTATCCACCATGGGTCGGTCCGGCTCCACATCGCACGCCTCGCCGCTAGCGCGCGAGGACAGGTTCTCGTCCGTGCTGCTGGGCATGTTTGGGAGCTGTTGGAGGTGCAGAAAGGTCTGAGCGGGTCTGGGGAGCAGCAACAACACAGGGAAGCCAGCTGGCGCAGGCGCAAAGCGGCACCCTGCTGGATGCCTGCCTCGCATAATGCATTGTGCTGCCCTCTCTCATGCCGAACGGAACTGTCACGCCATCTATGCAGGGTCAGCAGCGGGCAAGCGACCTCTCTCTTTTCACTGACACCCCCAGCAGGCAGTTGCGACGCACCAACCGAGAGCAGGAACGCCCATCTCGGCCCAGGCGAACATCGTCAATTGATGAGTGCTACAGAGCACCAGACATGAATGTACCAGATAGCTGACAGCTGCAACCAATCCCTCCTCCAAAGGACCTCCCTTCCCGCCGTCCCCATGCCGCCCGCCAGCTCAGCCCCATGGTTGTAGTCTAATGCGCCTTCAAGCACCCATCAGGCCATGGTCAGCGGGTCTGACTGGGATGAACACGGTCCTGGAGGCGCCAGGCGTCAACACAATGACTTGGGCCCTTGTGCTCTGCTGCACCACTCCGACAGCGCCTGGGGTGCCGCCGAGACAAGCCCCTGGGACAGAACTCGCGATGCCCAGGCCATCTGTGCGAGTCAGGCCTGCAAGAGCCTGCGCCCACGACTCCCGCGCAGTTGCCTCCATTTTTCAGGAGGCAAGGGCGCTGCTGCCGCCGAATGCAGCTTCTGATCCCCACAAACTCAGCGTGTTCGGCACTTGCTTCATTCCCCACCCGCCGCCGCTGCCGCCTATTGGCCTTCCACCACTCGGCCCTCTCTATAGCCCCCGCTCCGCCGCTCCTGGTGCAGGCCTTTGCATCGCAGTTTAGCGGCGGCAGCAACGCAGCCTTGGCCGAGGGCTTTGCGGCACCACCCCGCACGCTAGACGACTGGCAGGAGCAGGTGGCCACCGCGCTGCACGCCAAGCAGGCGGCGGCGGAGGAGAGCCGGCGGCGGCGGATAGACCGGCGCACGCTGCTGCTCCGCACTGAGCTCGCCAGGCGCAGCGGGCAGCCCACGGCGGCGCTGCGTCCGCCGACGCTGGCCGAAAGGTGCGTGGCCTGCACGGCAGCAGGGGCTACAACCTCGGCATGCCATAGCGGGGGCCCTGGCAGAAGTTGTTCCCCCGAGGCTGCCCTTGGATGGCAAAATCAATGGCTGCTGCCGCTGCCTCTCCCCCCAATCTTCCCTCCTGCCTGCAGGCAGCAGGTGCAGCAGTGGCGGCGGCGGCGCTCGTTTGTGGTGCTGGTGGCCGAGGACCGAGCCAGCGGGGAGCTGCTGGGCAGCGCCACCGTCAGCCTGGCGCAGCCGGAGGCGGCGCTGCCGCCGCCCTTCCCCACCTCCAAGCCCCGCCGCGTGTACGTGAGCAACATCGCGGTGCTGCCGCGCCACCGGCGGCGCGGCGTGGCCTCCGCGCTGCTGGCCCAGAGCGAGCGGCAGGCGCGGCTGTGGCGCCGCGACTCCCTCTGGCTGCATTGCGAGCTCAGCAACAAGCCGGCGCTGGAGGTGGGTGGGTCTGTGCAGCCCGGTGGCGACCGCGCATTCTGCAGCCATGTGGTGTGTGAGAAAAGAAACGAAAAGAAGAGAGCGCTCTCCGCTTACCACGGGCAACTGATGGTGGCCGGGCCTGCGGCCCCGCCTGCGACCTGCGCCCCCCGTCTGCAGCTCTACCACAGCATGGGGTACCAGGAGGTGCGGCGGGACCCCATGTTTTCGCCCAACCGGCGCTGCCTCATGCGCAAAGACGTGCCCGCCTGCGGCAGCATCGTGGGCAGCAGGGATGGCTGCACCAGCAGCGGCGCCAGCAGCGGCGCCTTTGGCGCAACCAATGGCGGCGGCGGCGGCGGCGGCGGTGGTGGAGGGGCAAGCGGGGCCACTGGCGGCAGCGGTGGTGCGAAGAGCAGAGGCGGCACCTATGACTGGTCCCACCTGAAATAATTTCACTTCTAAACTTCACAACTGCCTTTCGGAGCTTCTGGTTGTACTGCAAACGCTTGACATTCTCAGCGGTAACAAACTCTGTACAAGCGCAGGCGGAGCTGCCTTTGCTTAGCGCTCGACTCAGAAGAGCGTTGCCAGGTACTGCGGACGGGCGGCCGGGACCGGGCCTGGCCTCAGTCGCCCAGCCGGCTCCCCGCGCCGCCGCCAAACTTGCCCCACATGGAGGCGGCCCCCGCAAAGAAGCCTCGCTCGCCCCTCTCCTCGCTAGGGCCGCCGCGGTCGCCCCGATCGCGGTCGCCGCGCCGCTCGCCCCTGCAGGCGGGAGGAAGGCGGGTGACCGCAAGCAGCAAGATGATTAAGCAGGGAGGGGCAGGGAGGTGGCAGGGGCCAGCTGGGCAGCACGCGCGGGCTCGGCAGCCCGGTGCCTGCCCCCTCACCGGTGCCTGCCGTGCCTGCCGGGCGGGCCCTCACCGCGGTCGGGCCTGTCGGGCCCGCCGCCGCCGCCGCCGCCGCCGCCGCCGGCCGGCTTCTGCAGCAGGGCAAGCGCACGCTCCGGGATGCGTTGGGCACGCGGCAGCCAGCAGCTGCGGCAGGCGCACTCCTGGCAGGTGGCTGGGCGGCTGCCTGCACACTTCAGCCCTGCACACTCAAGCCCTGCAAAGCCACAGGCCGTATGTAGCTGCTGGCTGTGCTGTACGGAGAGGAGGAGTCACCTGGATGAGGTCGTGCTGCATGA